ATGGGTAGTTATGTTCCATAAAAGTAAGAGTTATTATCTGATTTTTTTTTAACTTTAATTTTTTTTAATATGAAAAAATGTGAATTTACCATATTATCCTCATTTAATTAATAATTTTAATTCTTAATGTTTGAATTAACCAAGGGCATTTTATGGTATTTTGAATGTTTCACCATTCTCTACCTTTTGCTTTATATATATAGATATATATATATATATATATATAAGAATTTGTTGGGATAGGTAACTTCAAATGAGGAATTTTAACATTTGTCTTCTAAAAATGGTAGGTATTGTTGGTTAAATTCGAATTCCTTTTTTGAATTTCAAAAATCTTATTTGTATATCTTTTTACGGCAGTTGCAACTATTCATAAAGCTTATAGGGCAAAAGTCACTTTTGGTTCTTTTAGTTTGGTACTTCAACTACTTTTGACCGTGTAGTTTCAATTATATCAATTTTGCCATTGTAGTTTCATATTTGTAGCAATTCAAGGACAAGTTAGTATTCTTGTCAATTTCTTTAACAATGCAAGGGGCAATTTGCTCAATCCAAAACCCTTGAGCGTAAAAGCTTGTTTGAATCCTCATTTCATATTAGGGCTCGAAATTCAACCACTAATCCCACTTTTTGAAGAACCCTAAACCCAATGACCAATTTCAAGCCCTAATATGAAATTAGGGGAGTTTCATATGAGCTTTTATGCCCAAGGATTTTGGATTGAAGAAATTGCCCCTTAAACTATCAAAGAAAATGACAGGAATACTAACTTGTCTTTGAATTGCTACAAATACGAAACTATAGGGTCAAAATTGACAGAATTGAAACTATAGGGTCAAAAGTAGTTGAAGCACAAATTATAGGGACCAAAAGTGACTTTTAGCCAAGGTTATATGAATGTCTTTAAATAATCAACTCGAATACATAAATAGGCATTGAATTAATCACCTACAAAATCAGTCACTGTATTGAGAGAGAAAAATAAACATATTTCGCCGGAGTTCAAAATCCAAGTTTTTGGATATTTTTTTATTGATAGTTGTATCATGGGGACAAATGCCTAATGAATTACAAGGTATGAGTGTAGGGGCGAAATTCTGTATGTGAACATTGCATCTGCAAGCCTCTATCAGTCAGTTCACTTCCCCTAATTATTTACATATTGTTTTATAGTATTGTTGAATTTCAGTTGGATTTATTTTACAATACGATTGATATGGTTTAGTTGTAATTAAATTCTGTTATCATATATATTATTAGAGTTCTTATTTAGATTGTTCTCCAGCAGGTGCCATGATTTCAAGTCAGTATATCATACGTTTTCCATCAAATGGTTCTGCATATATTATGCACGTCTATGGTTCACATCATTTTCAAGTGGTACAATCAGTTAAGCTTGAGTATGGACTGCAACAACTCGTGTTTTAATTTGATTGAGGAAGTTCGAGTGTAATAGAGTAGCTGCTTCACTTCGATTCTACAATTAGATTGTTTATATATTAATAGATATATAGTTTTGTTGAATTTTTTTTAACTTTATCCAAGGATTGCATTACGCAAAATCTCATAGCAGTTGTGTTGGTTGTTAGGTAAGGTCAAACATTTTGCGGGTTAAGGGTTCATCTTTCCAAGCGAAGTCATTGTTTTGTTGATAGACCTTCTCGACAAGTCTTTTGTGACGAAGTTGACGACAAAAGTTTTCATGGCGAAATTTGGCCTAGTTAGGCCTTCTCCAACCCATGAAGGGCTAAACCCAAATTCCCCCCCTCCAAAAAGTGACTATTTGGGTTTTGCCCGGACTCAAATTGTTTTTTCTCCCAACCCTACGGACTCAAATTTTAGGTCTGCAACTTTATTAAATTGTTTAACAATGGTTTAAGTCTAATTTTTTTTTAATGGATAACTTTTCTTCATTCAATATTTTAAATAACTTCATAATTAAATTTTTTGAACAATTTGACATAAAAAAATTAAAATTCCTCAAATATAATTTTGTTCCAAAAGAAAACACACAACATAATTCTAAAAGAAGAATGAAAGGAGATTCTGTGGACATCTTCAACAAGAATGAAAGGAGATTTATGAGATTGACAAAGGAAAAATAAATTGAGAAATAGATAAAATGTTTTTGGTAGATTATTTGAGAAATGTATGGGTATTTATAGAGTTTGAAGTGAGTTTTGGGGTTGGATCTGATTTAGATTAATTTAAAATATTATTTTGACTGTTGGATTTAAATTTCAGTCGTTAGATCTTTTTTTTTTACCGTTAAAATAGCTTAGATTTAATCCCTATCGTTGATTTAAGTTATATGTATATATATATATATATATATAAACAGATTCAATGGCAACTCAATGGGGCTTTGACAAGTGGCACTTGTGGAAGACAAGATGGCAGCAACCAAAAAAAAAGGTGGGGCCCACAGAGGAATCTTTGCACATGGGGCTGTTTGACATGAAAGTGGGCTCCACGAAAAAATTTGGGTTTGGGCAATACTTGGACCCATATTTGGTTCCAAATTTGGGTTTTCCCAAATTTTGAGTCCTTCATTTTTTTGGGGTTTAGAGAGGTTTGGAGGGATATTTTGGGTTTGAGTCTAAGGGTTGGAGATGGCCTTAGTGACCCTGCACAAGCTTGATCCAGTCACATATGGACTAGGGTTGTGGATTTTGGCTGGACTTAATGATTTTCATAAATAGACGGGCTCTGCCCCTTGTTCTTTTATTAAATTGGCTAAATGTGCCGGGTTTGACACCTGTAATTATGGGAAAAAGGGTATTGATTTGCAAATCAATGGTCTCAAGTTCGAACACAATAGCACTTTGATAATTTCGACTATCGTTTGTATTAAAAAAGAAAAAGGAAACCCCAAATTCAAATGTCCTCTACTCAATAAATTGAGAGCCGCATGATGAATTTGAACGGACAAGATTTTTGTGTTCACGCGAGGAGAGTGTCCGAGACCTATAATCTTCAAATTTGGAAATTAAATCCCATACCGAACTGATGCTGCAGCATAGCATAAAAAGTGGAAGAACAGGAGTCGCATGGAAAAACTAAAACCCCTTCAACTTCTCCACGTATTTTGTCAGACTTTTCTCATCCAACTTTTCCACTTCTTCACGTTCACCAAGGCTGAGCACTTCTAATTAATAATTCCAATTAACAAAAACTTAAACAACAATTGAAGAAGCTGAAGGAAAAAGAAAAGAACCAAACAAAAGAAAACACAGGGCAAAAAAAGAATCAGAATTATCAGTTTCTTGATTCATGTAAGACACATTTTCTCTGATTTTTGTTTTTGTTTTTATTTTCTGCTTACCCAGTACTCTTTCTGATCTGACATGCATGAGTTTAATCTTTACATGCATGTAATGAACCAGTTTTAAAAGAAGATCTACGAAAGAAAACAAAGTTAAAAAAAAGAGAGAGTAGAAGTTACATCACATATATCGTTGTATTGTAATAGATATATAATATGTTTGATCGAAGTATATGCAGTGTGAGGAGTACATGATGGAAAGTTCTGAGAGTGATAGCTTCTCCGACATTTTGCTTTCTTGGTCTCTTGAAGATATCGTTGACGACAATCTTTACAAGCACAAGGTATTCACTTGCTCTATAATCTCCCAAATTTTCGTCTTTCTCTTGTTTTGTTTCATCAACAATTCATTAAGTAGGAGTTCATTAGTCTAATTGCTCATGTAGCCTACTTTAATTCTTTAGTGGTTCTTGACTCTGAAAGAGAAATTATTGTGTGGTACTAGAGCACTGCAACTACAGCCTAATGCAAGAATATGATTAACTATGTATAAATCGGAACCAATTACTACTTAAATTTTGCAAGGAATTCTTTATGCATTTGTTCATTGATAAGGTTGATTTGAATATAAAGTCTGCATGCTTCTGAAAACATCATGCTCTGAATTACACACTATAATCTTCTTCTGTGTTTTAAATTTTATGAGCCTATGTACAAAATATTTCATTTGAGACATTACCATGTGGCTGCTAGCACTCTTGCTTCTACTTAAGGAGTGACATTTATTATTTGATTTGTCACTGAATCATTGCATTAGGTTCAGAATTATTTTGGGTCTTTTTCATATCCATTACTAGACGAAACTCGAGCTCAGTTACATTCTAGTATGGAAACTCTGGACAGAGCACCATTCCGTGAAGTAACTGCTATAGAAGAATCGAAGCCATATGGAAAGAAGCTATATGATGTCGAGGTTGATTACTGGAGAAAGATGTCCAGTGATTCCTGCAAGGAACCATATAAAACTCAGCCTGGACATGTTTTTTTACTGTCAGATGCTAAACCCGAAAGTATTTCAGATATACAGGAGTCAAAGAAATCATGGGCATTTCTGATAGTCACTGAAGTGTCCAATCGTTCTTTTAAAGTTAAAGCATCGAAAGAGCTTCAAGTCTCCAATGGCATTCAGCCATCTCTCCTTATGGTTTTCTTAATCAATATAACTCCTAACATCAAAATATGGAAAGCAATCGACAATAACAAAAGTGCTAGATGGAAGGTACAATTTTGTTTTCTCAGATTTATGTTTTTAATCCTCTTTCTTTTTTCTCCTCTTATTTTCCAAACATTTGCGATGACACTTATAAATATTCATCCTCTGAATTTTCCTAGGTCCTTTTCAGTGACAACTTTTTGAAATCATTCAAAAAACTGAAGTCATTCCGAGTGAAGATGTCATTGCTGTTCTTCTGCTTAAGCTTTCGAGTGGATGGAGACCCAATAAAAGAAATGTTGAAAAGAATTGTAAAAGCTCTTCAATGATCTGGAAGAAATTTAAGGTCGAAGGTATATATATTGTTTGCACTACTGACATTGAAAAAGATAGGAGATACATGCAAGTGTTGAAGATCTGGGATATATTGCCTGATCTGTTGAACGTCCAGAAATTGGTTGATCAATTAGACTGTATATTTAAAACATACACAGATGGTTTTATCAGTCTCTGCAGAAAGAAATGTCTGGACGGGTATGTTGTTTGTCATCCTAGTATTTCTGAATTGATCTTGCCTGAAATTATACTGTGTTTCCTGTTTGGAATCATATAAATATACAAATGTTTCATCTTCAAATTTGCTTTTTAAGTAGACTATTGCTGGTTTGTCTTTCATGAGCAGTGATTTGGAAATTCCGGCCAGCTGGCCCCCCGCTCTGGATGTTGCCCGGTTTGAAGATTTAAGCATCACCGAAAAAACCCCAAGTTATTTACTTGGTGACTCTTCAGCAGATAGAAGTTATGTTGAGAAATCAAATGTTAGTGAGAGTTTGTTACTGATGAAATTCTACTCCTTATCATCTGGAGTGGCAAACTTCTTGCTATCTGACAGTGAAGGTAGAGAACTGGATCTCCCCTTTCAACTTACAGATCAAGAAATGGAGATCGTCCGTTATAATAGAAGTACATTTATACTGGGACGCTCAGGCACCGGGAAGACAACAGTTCTTACAATGAAATTATGTCAGAAAGAACAGCAGCAACGTATTGCAGAGGAAGGATTCTATGGTGTTGAGAATGCACTCTCGCATGTTTTTCCGAATAATAACAAGGTTGAGCAGAGTCCTACTGGTGCTAATATGTGTGTCTTGCGCCAGCTTTTGGTGACAGTGAGTGCAAAACTCTGTTTTGCCGTCAAGCAACATGTTTTACACTTGAAAAGGTGCGAGGATTGTTTGACAAATAGATGTTAGCTGCTTCTTACATTAGCTGTTTAGAAAAAAATATTTTTCTGAATGACGTGCACTGCTAGATGCAAAGATTGCTGCTTTCTGTTCCATCATAAATATATATTTTCCATTTATTTCCTATTATCTACGTGTATAATAATATAGTATAGTACCTGTATATATAAGGAAAGTTCTATGTGTAATTAGTAAGTAAATGTTTGAGCTATATATAAGGAAAATCGTTTGAAAAAAACTAGTCATTATAATGATTTATCATTAGTATTTTCTGTCTCTGAGGACAAATTATGGAAGCTTCAAACTAACTGTTCATGCATGTATGTGTACTATAATACCATGCTTCTTGGTCATCTAGGTTAAAGTTTGCATCTTCTTTCTTGGTCTTGATGTTGCTCTTTAATTGTCATACTTCTTATGTGCCACTTGAAGATGAATAATTGTATATATTGATATTAACATAACTTGTATGTCCTCAGTTTTCTTCTGGGGGAAACCATTCAGGTGAATGCAGTTCGACTGATAGCATTGATTTGAGGATGAAGAAGCCCAGTTCAACAATATCCCAGATTCTTTTCTTGATATTCCGCCCAACTGTTATCCTCTTTTCATAACATTCCATAAGTTCTTGATGATGCTTGATGGAACCCTAGGTAACTCATTCTTTGAAAGATTCCTTGACACCTCAGAACCTCGGCCAAGTTCAAGATCAGTTGCGCTGCAGACGGTTCTAAGACAAAAGGAGGTCAATCTTGCGAGGTTCAGCACTTCTTATTGGCCTCATTTTAATATACAGCTAACAAAGAAGCTTGATCCTTCTAAAGTATTTACAGAGATTATCTCTCATATCAAAGGCGGCCTGGGAGTCACAGAAGCAGGTGATGGAAAACTCAGTCGAGGAGATTATGTCCAACGTTCAGAGGGCCGGGCGTCAAATCTGAGCAAGGAGAAGAGGGAGATGATATATGATATATTTCTGGTTTATGAAAAAAAGAAAAAGAAAAATGTTGAATTTGATGTCACTGATTTTGTTAATGATATTCACCGTCGACTCAGACGTGAAAAGTACAAGGGTCATGAAATGGATTTTGTATATATTGATGAGGTTCAGGATCTAACAGTCAATCAGATTAGACTCTTCAAACACGTTTGCAGTAATGTTGAAGAGGGTTTTGTTTTTCTGGTGATACTGCACAGGCAATTGCAAGGGGTATTGATTTTAGATTCCAAGATATACGACACATGTTCTACAAGGAATTCGTACTGGAATCAAAAAGAGATAAACACGAAGAAAGAGAAGACAAAGGACAAATCTCAAAAATGTTTCATTTGTCTCAAAACTTCCGTATGCATGATGGTATACTGAAGTTATCACAGAGCATAATTGATCTACTTTACCATTTCTTCCCCCAATCTATTGATAAATTGAAACCTGAAACCAGTCCAATATGTGGGGAAGCTCCAGTTTTGCTTGAACCTGTAAAAAATGAGAATATAATCATGAAGATTTTTGAAAGTAGTGATACTTTTCATGGAAATATAGTTGGCTTTGGAGCAGAGCAGGTTATTTTGGTACGTGATAAGCATGCTCGGAACGAAATTTCCAATCAAGTTGCAAAGCGAGCTCTTGTTCTTACTATATTGGAGAGCAAGGGCCTTGAATTTCAGGTCATTACAACATTTACTTATTAGTTTGTTTAATTCTATAAAACATATTACCAATTGGGGATTTTCATATATTTGTGTTGTGATCCACAATAATTCTCCTGCCACTACAAGACTATTCCAATTGTTTTTCTTTATCTTTCTGGAAATCTTTTTGGCTTTGTCTTCAAACGATTATTATTGTAAGGTTCACATCAGACATTGAAAAGAGATTTGTTGCAAATTTATTAAATTATGCAGAACTATGTACAGCTGATATTGTCGATGTGATTGAAATATATATTTGGTTTGTTCGTTCTTGTAGGATGTACTGCTTTACAACTTTTTTGGATCATCACCATTGCAAAATCAGTGGAGGGTGATATATGATTACATGAAGGAGCATGATTTGCTTGACTCCACTTTACCTGAGCACTTTCCAAGTTTTGATGAAGACAAACACAACATCTTATGTTCCGAACTTAAGCAACTATATGTTGCTGTCTCTCGTACTAAACAAAGGTTGTGGGTTTATGAGAATATGGAAGAGCTATCCAATCCCATGTTTAACTATTGGAAAAGGAAACGTCTTGTGCAATTTAGGCACTTCGATGATTCACTTGCAAGGGAAATGCAAGCTCAGAGCAATCCAGAGGAGTGGAGGTCACGTGGCATGAAGGTTTGTTTAGTTTACAATGGTGCTAGTAATTAAGTTAATAAAACGATTTTTTTTAATTTTTTTTAATTTTTTTGTATTTGGTGTTAAATTTATTTTAATTTTTGAAATTTCATCACAGTTGACTGATATGATCACTTTAAGCGTCACAATCATCATCATGGTCACCTTAAGCCTTAAAGCATAGTGTATGTATGAACATTAATTTCAATTGTATTAATCTAATCCATTTTATTTGTTTCATCCAGCTCTATCAAGAGGATAACTATGAAATGGCCACAATGTGTTTTCAAAGAGCTGGTGATACTTATTGGGAAAGAAGGTCGAAAGCTGCTGGCCTGAAAGTTATGGCTGACCTTAAGCGCACTTCAAATCCTGTAAAGGCTAATGCTCTCCTCAAGGAAGCTGGAGAAATTTTTGAATCTTTAGGGAAGGCAGATTCTGCTGCCCAATGCTTTTTTGATTCTGGGGAGTACAAAAGAGCAGGTATGATATTAACTTCTGTTATCTTTATCCTGCCAGCATTCATGCCAAAATGGCTATTTTGTTTTGATGATACCTCTCACGGTTACACATTGAACTTGAATCTTCATATTTGTTGCTTGTCGTAAGTGTTTGTATTGGTACAGCTAGGATTTATTTGGACAAATGTGGAAAACCTGGACTTGAAAGAGCTGCAGAATGCTATTCTCTAGTAGGATGCTACAAGCATGCAGCCGAAATATTTGAATCTATAGGCAAAGCGGATTCTGCTGCCAGATGCTTCTATTATTTGGGGGAGTATGAAAGGGCAGGTATGAAGTTGACATCTGTTCTGCTTATCCTTCCAGCAGTCATATGATAGTTTAAAGGCTACTGTGTTGTGATGAAACCTTTCAGAGTATCATTAGTTGCATTTGAATATTCAATTTTGTGGCATGTCTCAACTATAAAAGTTTGTTTATGCAGCTAATATTTATTTGGAAAAGTGCGGCGAACGTGGACTTGAAAGAGCTGGCAAATGCTTCTCTCTAGCAGGATTCTATGAGCATGCAGCCGATGCATATGCCAGGGGCAAATTTTTCTCCGAATGTCTAACTATGTGTTTGAAGGGAAAACTATTTGACAGAGGTTTGGAATATATTAAATTTTGGAAGCAACAAGCAAGAGAAGAGTATGATCTGGCTTTAAGAGGAAAAGGTATGGATCAAATTGAACTGGATTTTCTTGAGAGCTGTGCATTTCATTATCATGAGGTTGAAGATAACAGATCCAAGATGAAACTTGTTAAAGGTGAAATGTTATCTGGGCGAAAGATTTTGAATACTCATCTTTCTTCAATCTCGTCAAAGTATGTGTGGGAAGAAAATATTATTTGTGATCTGAAAAAGTATTCTGAAATCAAGAAATCTAAAAAGCAGGTTTCTATTGATTCACTGGTGTACTTTTGGAAATTTTGGATGGATAAGATTGTTTATTTGATAGAATATTTTGGATCTCTTCAAACTCTAGACGTTAATAAAAGAAGTGATGGAGACTTCTTTTTAAATTACTTGGCGGTGTTGGGGGAGTTTCATGATGATTTGAATCCAATATATCTTGCACTCATCTCTGATGCTGATTGGGTTAGTGGTGTGGATAAACGTTATTTTCTAAGTAATGGTGAATTGGTCACTGTTGATTTTTGCCAAATTGTTTCATCTGCTAAGATTTATTGGAGTTCAGAACTACTCTCTTTTAGTACTAAGATTTTGAACAAGCTTCAAGTGCTTTACGAATTCATGACCGAAAAATCTGATTCAATTTTCAGCCAAAGCTGGGTGTCTTACGCAGATTTATGTGGTTGCAAACTGTCTTTTGGAGTCCAAATGCCTGAAGCTAGCGTATAAAGATTTAAATACACTACAGAATTTTGTTAATCTGTCAACTGAAAACATTGTTGCTTGCATATTTCCTTTAGATTGGAGGAAATCTTTGAGAGAGAATATGATTTCTCTGAGACAAAACGATGCTTGTGAAAGTTTACTCAAGAAAGTTGTAGTTGATTATATGAGCTCAAAGAAAAAGCTGTCTTATGGGCAAGTAGGAAGGATTGCAATGATTATTCTTGGCACTAGCAATTTTAATAATGAACTGTATGCGAAGCTTGTGAATAATTTGCATTGTAGTTCACCATGGAAGGTGTTCATTAAGAACATATGTCAAGAACCGAAAGAGGAGTCTCTTCCGTGGTGGTTCCACAAAGCTTTGGATGACACTTATTATGCAAACTGGGAGGGAGAACGTGACTATCTGTCACCTGATTGCTTGTTGTATCTTGTAGAACGCCTTCTGATGTGGGTGTCCTGCTTACAAGGGTATGTTATCACTACAAAATCTTGTTTTACTGAATGGCTGATACACCAGCGGGAAGATACAAAATTTACTTCCAGTATAAGGCCTGATGTGCCAATATGTTTTGAAGTCATCCTTCAGTTTTTGATTGATGTGGTTCGGGATTTGCTTTATGATAAGAACACCGTGGTTGAATGGATTCAAAAGTCTATCAAGGATTGGGAGAAGTATTATTCACTGCTAATCCTGAGATTGGTTGTCATCTTATGCTTGCTTTATTTTAATTTCGGGGTGTGTTTTAGCATACTCTTAGAACTAATTTGGAGGGACTACATCACTGAGCAACTACCAAAGGAGTTTTGTGAGGTCCTCAGGAGACTTATATCTGTACAAAATTCTCCTAGTATAAATGTGAATCTGATTGAGGAAGCCTTTAAGAAAATTGGTAATCCTTTGGTAGTTGCAAGTTTCGGGATCGATTGTTCTAGGTTCATTTGTTCAGATGCCATTTTTTTCGACATGAAGGGCAACCTTTGCATTGACGAAATGTTGAGAACATTGTTCTCAAAACCGCACATTCATGTTCAATCTTCACGAGGTCAATCTGAAGCCATGGTGGTAGAAGCTAAAAGTTACTGCTCTGCTGCGCCTTCTGCTTATGATTCAAATGAGGCCAACTGCTCTAAGCTTGTTCCACACACCCCCGGCTTGGTAACAGATAAGGTCCAAAACATAGGAAATAGCAAGCAAAGTAGCCTTCCAATGGATTTTGATCTCTTTTGGGAAATAATTGAAGGTTTACAATTGTTGGAGAAGGAAGGAGATCAGAGGAGTTTATCTTCAGAGGCCTCCACAATCAAGGTAATTATTTCGGGTTTATTTCTTTTACGGTTTAGATTGCACAATGAGCAACAACTGTATTGAGTTTTCCTTGTTACGTGACATTATTTTAAGTTGGATCTGGAGAAAGCTATTGGCACCTGGACTGCTGCATGGTCTACATACTATTCAAACTGTGATGACAGAGGAGCATTATCTGCAGAAGTACTTCACATGCTTGATGAAACGGTGCAACTCTATGCTGTATTAGATGGGAGGTCAGTTTTTTAAATTCAATTTAATGTTCTTGATTATTTGATGGACCAACAATTTTCTCTTGCTTTATTTATCTCTTATTCTAGTTAATTTTCCCCTGATGCATCATTCTTGGTTCATTTGTCTATATTTTCGGTTCTCAGTGAGCAGGAACTTCGCAACAAAATTTCAATAGTCGCAGAACTTTCAAGGCGGTTGCAGTCGAGGAGGCAAACGGTGGAGCCAATCTTGACTCGCCTAGTTTTGGAGCACAATTCAAAGCTTGCTAGGATGCAAATCTTGAATCAGCTATTTTTGGAGCACCAGACAAGGCTTGCTTGGAAGGCAAAGTTGAATCAGCTAGTTTTCGAGCACCATAGAAACCTTGCTAAGAATGCAATGTTGAATCAGCTGGTTTTGGAGCACCATACAAAACTTGCTAGGAATCTAGCTACTGGAGACTGTTGAATCTGATAAAGCTGAGGAAAACAGCATATCCAGTGGCACACAAGCTGATGTTTTTATTGAAACACCAACTGCCGGTTAGGGAACCTTGGAAAGAAGGAAATTGCAACGCCATTGATATATTCTCATTTTTGGCATTGTATATATGTGTTTGAGTCACCACCTGCATATATGTTGCATAATATTATGCAATAAATGCTTAATGAATCAGAGCCAAGTTGCATCGTAGACCAAGATTAAATTAGGCTTGGCTACCGGTCAGACTCCGTAAACTACCCTACCGTTAGCCAAACCGAACTTTTGATAGGCCAAACTGCTCTTCTATTCACCAAAATTTAGAGCCTTAACCTTAAGTTGCTTAGGTTGGTATACTGAATTTTCGGTTTGGTTCGCTTCGGTAGGGCAATTCTACACAATTCCAAACAGTTATCTAAAAGATTGAGGGAGAAAAAACACTGATTTATCACCAATCTAACATGGCAAACAGCTGCACCTACAAAGGCTCGAAGTCTTAAATAAGTCAATGATACAATGGTGTAATCTAATGGACCAATATAATTCGGAACTTGGACCGTGGACTTGTTGAAGAATATAAGTCTCATATCGGAAACTTGACTAAATAAAATGCAATATATAATGAATGGTTCCACTAATAATATAATCGAGGCCTTTTGTGATAAAATTCCACACCTAATTGACTTTGTAGGTGGTTAAGTTGGGGACAATATGATGCATTTGGAAAGCCCTCAAAATACCTATATTTTTGAAACATGTCCAACTTCTCCAAATATGACAATTCATAATGGGTTAATTTAACAGAAGAAGAAGCTCACACCATAGAGAATATGATATAGATATAAGAGAACAGGAATCTCTTAACAACAAAGAATCTCTTTTTCAAAAAACATAAAGGACCACATCTTTTCATTTGTCTATACCACATCTTTTCATTGAGGCAAAAAAACTTGTATGAAACGGGGGTACCACTGTTTTGCTATTTCCGATCAATCATTGCATGCCACGCGTGATAAATTGAGCTTGAGTATAATGGTCCAATCACTAAAAAGTACGTCTTTATTTTAAAAAATGGTCTTTATTTAATAATAGAGGCCTTATAGGATAAATGAATAATACCTTTTTTTAAAGGGTATAAATATTTCACAAACTTATAACTTCAGCTCCCAAGACTTTCACCCATCAATTAGAGTTCAATTATTCACAAAAATCACTGTCCTTGTCTCACATTCCCACTCCAACCAAAGTTATGGGCAGTTAAATGTGTATTCATTGTAATTAAATTATTGTTTGGAACCAGTTTTTTTCCAACCCTTAGTGGGCCCAGTTTTGGGACAAATTAGTGAGCCTTATTTTAAAGTCAAATACGGGCTTAGCCGTTTAAATTAAATTAGTTTTTGTAAAGTTCACCTCTTGAAGATGGCCCATTTACGAAAGAATAGGCCCCAGACCGTGGCAAGTCAGAACTTAAGTTGGGCATTTGGGCCCAAACTGAGAACCAAGTGATGACACGACTAAGGCATTGGTTGGTCTTGGCAAAAGGAATTTTTGGACTAGTGATTGAGGGGGAAGCCACCAGGTCATGTCAGACATGCAAAAGCTTTTAGGGCGGTGAGATATCTAGATACAAGCTTACTTGGGCGGCATCTTTCCTCTATAAATAGGAGTTGTTTCAGAATCAAAGACACAACTCAAAAAACAAGTCGAAACGCTGCTCAAATGCACTCTCAACTTTACATTTTATATTCTTATAATTTTCATGTAATCATATCAACAAGTTATTTGTTTATCAAATTTTTTGAGCACCATCCATTTTAACTGTTCATCGAGTATATCAAAAAAGTTTTTCTTTGATCTAATTCATAGTTTAATTTTGAGCACCATTTAATCCATACTTTCACAAATATTCTCAATTATTCAAGTTTATTTGTGAGATTGTCGTCTAGTTGTCGAGCTCGAGGACACTAAGCTAAACGATATATAAAAGCCTTTTTGCCAAGCTAAAAGAACCAACGACCGAGAGGTGTTCTTTTCTCGACCACGATCGCTCGGTCTTAAAAGTTAAGGTCAAGCGCAATTACAAACTATACATCAAACTCATTCACATACATGGCTACCGTGGTCAAACGTGTTGGCAAGCCTAAAAAAATCACACATCCCAAGAGAGATCCAGTTGGCACCTAATCCCTAGGCTTGTCGCATCAAGACTTTTTTTTATTTATTTATAATTTTTATCGTTTTTAAATTGGTAAAATGAGTCGAACAAAATTTTAAACCAACAATTATAAGCAGTAATCCAATTAATAAGAGTTGCTCACCCAGAAACGTGGAGTAAAAAACCTTTCCATGCCTAGGGCTTTGCGCCGGTATGGTTTTAGCTCTCTCTTCCCTCCACTCTCAACGTCTACTTCGGTTCTCCGATCGTCTTTGGCTCTTGGTTCCTCGTTGGCATAGGTTGTTGGTGTCTTCAGATCTTACTTTGGTGACTGGGTCTGTGTGGTGATATCTCTCTCTTCGTGCGCCATTCTTTGCGGTAGGGCTTTGGAGCCACTCGGGTTTTGTTTTCTCTTTCTTTTCCAACGTCATCTCAGGTCATCTTCTCTAAGTGTTTTGTTTCCTGTTAGTTTGGTTTTGTCTTCGGTTTGTGGTTGTGAGGTTGTTTGGATCTTAGCACCGGTGGGGAGTGACAGCTTGGGTTATTGATTTTTCTACCCTAGCTTTGTAGCCACGTTTTGGGGTTGGCCTCTTTCACTTGTTTTGTTTCGCTTGTGGTGTCCCTCTATGACTTCCTATTTTACTGTCATGTCCCTTCCAGATCATGATCAGGATGATTTTGTTGATTAAATTAAGTGCTTCTTTGGGAGTTGGTTGGTCCTTAACCTGCTCGAATAGGCTAGTGGTGTTATTGGCTATTCAGATATCTCTGATAGTTTTATTGGCCTTATCTATAGCCATGTGGCCACAGTCCTTGTGGATCATCTTGTCAATAGTGACGGTCCAATAGATTCTGGATGCGCTTTGTAAATGGTCGGGATCAGAAAATGGTCATTGAAATGGAGCCACGGGTGTATCGATGGTCCTCGGTCTTGTTGGCTGAACTCCCACATGATGGTAATATGCATTCTATGTCTTTGACGCATAGCACCTTTTGGGTCAAATTACATGGTGTTCGAGGGTTTTGTATGACGATTGCAGTTGCTCAGGCCATTGGTGTTTTGTTGGGGGATGTTATTGGAGTGGATAATCACGATGGGTCCGATTGTGTAAGTCGCTTTATTCGCATCCTTGTGCGTTTTGGTGTCACCATACCTCTTTTTCGTCGAACATTGGTCATTTTTCCGAAGGTAAGGGAGAAGATGGTGGAATTCAAATATGAGTATATTCTTGATTACTGCTTTGTCTCTAGGCGATTAGGCCATTCCACCCACATATGCATTAAGAAATATAAAACTACACATGGGCCTTTCACTCCGATTTTGTGTGATCAGTTGACCTCTGTATTTGCTGATTTGGAAGGTACTACTAATTTATGGGATAAACCTATTGGCTCTTTGGGTCATTGATCCTCAGCTTTTCCCCTTCTTTCAGAAGCTATGGCACTTTTTTATAGGATGGTTCGGGTGCTCAAGGTAGTCATATTGATCGTTTTTGCTATCTCACTCTCGTGATAGGGGTGAGTTTGCGGACTTTATCTCGCCTCATACTTTATCACATTGTCATCGGGGTTTGGAGGTTATTGATTTTCTATGTCGATAAGCTAGCCTCACTCAGGATGATGTTCCTCCTTTGGTACCACCTAAACCGACTCTGCCTGTGTCGGATTTAGGACCTCTTACAAGGGATATTCCTTTTAGGAAGGTACCTTCTCACGCACCTCCTACCATGTTGGGGGTGTGTCTCTTTTACAGGTTGTAGGTACATTATCTAGCTCTATTGCCTCTCATGGCTCGAGGGTCACCTCTTAGGATTGTGTGAGTCCATGGTATGTGTGGCATTCTTTCCTACCCTGGGGTTTGTCCCATGTGGTTTTCCTAGGAAGGTTTTAACAAAGCTACTGTATTCGTACCAGTCTTTATATGTCTTTTTTGAATTATGAATGAAATCTTTTCTTTATAAATTATAAATAATAATAAATAAATAAATAAAAAGAGTTGCTCACCCCAAGTGCACGTGATAGTAGGAGTGGCCCAATTAATGCAACAAATAAAAACGCTAAAACTAAAGCCATCAGGATGCAGCACCATCTATGTGTGTGTGTGTGTGTGTGTAGTATCTGATAGCCCTAGGGATTAACATTCATTTTGAGAGAAGGAAAAGTAAATACCAGAAATCATTTATAAAGGTTAACATAAAAGTAAGGTGTGAACCGAAAAAAATTTGTTCTTAGATTTGATCGTGCAAAATGGGAAAGACAATTTATATATAGAAGTTATATATGGACCGAATACGATGCACTATAAGACATGTTGGGCAAACGAAAGAAAGAAGGAAAGAAAATAAATAATTTATGGTGGTGAATTCACAAAAAAAGTAAAATTCCAACCAAAAAACAATTTGTTCCTCTTATCTCGAGTGTGTATATTGGGAAAATGACAACTTATACAGAGCTAATATGACCTAACACCATTTAATTGCCAAGCATTTTCTCTCTATGTAAACAACAGCAACCAAGGCAAAATGAAAAACCAAACAAGTAAACCTAGGAGGCTAATCTCTCCCTCGTTTGTCCATTAAGAGAAAACCTTGGCCAGCTATCAGCTATGGAAGGCAAGAAAACCAGAGGCAGGCAAAAGATCGATATCAAGAAGATAGAAAATGAAGATGATAGACTTATTACTTTTTCAAAACGGAGATCCGGAATATACAAGAAGGCTAGTGAGTTAGCGGCTCTATGCGGTGCAGAAGTTGGCGTTGTAGTGTTTTCCCCAAAAGGAAAACCTTATTCGTATGGTAGCCCTGCTATTGAGTATGTGGCGAACCGATTTCTAAATGCTGTTGCTGATCAAAATGCTAATGAGAGGATCTCTCATAGCATTTTGGAGGTGTACCGGCAGGCAAGAGTCTATGAGGCGAACGAGAACCATAATGAGCTGGTAGGGCAGCTTGAGGCTGTGAAAGAGCAGAGCAAGGTGCTGCAACAGTTGGTAAGAGAAAGGGAAAGCGGGGAACAACAGTGCTGGTGGGAGCCTGCTCTTCATAATCAGGACTCGCAAGGTGTCAAGAAAATTCATGAATCCTTTAAAGGATTGGTAAATCATGTGTGCACCCATCTCAGGGTCAGATATGGGAGTGGTAGCAACAGCTTTGATAATAGCATTGCTTCTTCTTCTGCAGCACTACCCTTCCATGCAACAGTAGGATCCAATCCTAATTCCCAATCCCATTAAACTGCTCATTGTTCTTTTTATTTGTTATTCTCATGAGAGAATTTTTTGCTTCTAGTTATTTAAGATTATGACCCGTGGTGTTACAAAGTACATGTTCTATCGATTAATAAAGTATATGTTTATCCGTTGATTTGGACTTATTCAGACATACCTTCCAAAGATAATATTGTTGGTTGATGGTCTTGAACCAAGAAGCAATGACTTGCAGTGTTTGAGGCCGGTCTAGTCATTACAAAATCATTTTCTAAATTTTTTTGGAACACACGATACCAAAAGGTTTCATTTCCCTAATTGTTGCGAATAGCGCCATCTTCAATTACGGAAATGCACTCTCTCCAAAAAGCCTCATCTTCCACACGGTTTCCAATTCACACCTCTTTGTAATTTAGGGCCATCAAATAATATAAAAATTAAAAATTAAAATTAAAGAACCTTTGTTAAGTGAGAAAGGAATAAAATGATATTGGTGGATTATTTAACAAATGGATGTGTATTCATAGAGTTAGAGATGAGTTTTGATCTTGGAACAGATTTAGATTAATTAATATTAATCGTTAAATTTAAAATTAATTTGTTCGAAATATATTTTGTTTTCGCAATGAAATTAGTTAGATTACATCATAGCCATTGGGTTTGAATTCAAACAAAAAAACACATTTGAATGTGGCCGTTGGATCTCAACTTCGTGATTTGAACCATCCATAGGCATCTGAGTGTTTTACTCTTGAGTTGCATCAATCTCGAGGGAGCTTCTACAATGAGGGAGATTTTGGTGAAGGGGTTTAATGAGGGGTTCAGTCCAACCATCAATCATTAAAAAAGTTCAAGTCCAATATTTTCTGTCTTGTTGGATAGTAGAATTGAATCCCTCCCACAACCCCTTCACCCACAACCACCTTATTATAGCATTTCTTCATTATTGGTATGCTTACATGTGGGCTAGACATCAACCAAATTTGGGCTCCACCATGGAACGGTTCGACTGATAATCAATCTATAATTTCGCCTAATTTGAGGCCTGGGTAAAAATTTGGTTTGGCCTTAGACAGGCGTTGGTAGAGATTTGGGACCTAAATCCCATTGTAGAGAGGCTCGCCTAATCCTTTAAGACAACTAGACCGATTTTTGTACTTGGTTTTACTCCTCTTCATCCATAAAATATTATCATCCTCAAATGTCATTTTTGAACAGATACATTGAGCATTGAGTGTTAAAATTTCATGATTGAACATCTAATATATAATTAGAGCCTCTAAACAAGTTCATACTAACAAAAATGAGATGTTCTTAATTATAATTCCAAATAAGGGTAGCAATGGGCCATGTCGAGCTATTAAATAGGTTCGAAATCTCCAACCCGAATAAGACTTGTTTTTTATTTAATCTTTTCTATACAAGCAATATTCTATATATTTTAATCTAATTTGAATTACAGAGAGGGGGATTCGAATTTGGGTGCAGAGTGGGGAGTGTTGAGGCCCAAAAAATCCAAGGCTTGGCCTAAATATATTTATAGCCTAGTACGACACCTAACTTGGGAAGAAACCCAACTTGGGTACGCAAGAGTTCGTCATATGCGCTTGCACACGTGCCACGCGAAGCAAATAAACAACACGCCACGCTACAAACTTAAGTGGGCCCAAGCCACGCAAATGCCTGGGGCTTGCTGAGCGGTTGTATGGATGGTTACGAGTTTTCATAAGGCTCATCGATGAGCTGAGAAATGGAAGTTTTAAGCTGCTTGGGAGCCTCGAAACTCAAGCCTATTTCTTGAGCCCAAATATGTGCGTATGCATAAAACAGAGAAAATAGCCCAATAATTTAGGAAAAATAGCACAATACTCTATGAAAATTAGCTCATTCCCTTAATGGGTTAACCCATCACCTTAGAATAGCTCAAATGACCTATAAAATATATGAAAGTCTCCAGCACATGGCTGGAGACAAAACAACGACAAAAGCCAAAGGTTACCTATGTATGCAGGCTGCTGGGAATCTCCAGCACATGGCCAAAGACAAATCCCAACATAAGCCATCCAAAAAACCAAAGGATACTTGAGCAAAACATCTCTAGACCAGCGTCATTACCCACTCATTTCTCCTACCAGCTCTTGCCATGAAATAAAGGAGGAAATAAGGAGAGATGATAGCCAAATATAGGAGATTGCCAAAGGGACAGCTGCGGGAAAACTCTAGAGCTCCCAAAAATCTTGTCTCTTTGTATTTGGATTGAGGGAGATTTCATTAAAAAAAAGGTTGAATCAAAGGAAGAGAAATGAAATGAAGGAGAAGACTTGGCAAAATTGGAGAGAACCAACTAGGGTTTTCTTAGGAAGAAAGAGCTTCTAGCGCCTATAAAAAGGAGGCACCTTCTACCCAGCAAAACAACTCAAAAAAGGGCAAGCAACCCATATCCAGAGAGCAACCTTCATCTCTCATCCTTTAAACCTATGCAATTTCGAGCCTCATTCCTTTATCTTCTCCCATTTTCTCTTCTGGCAAGCCATTCCAGAGTTTAACCAAGCTTTTGTCAGGCTGCCGGAAAATTGCTCAAACCACCCACTTCTCGTCTCTCTCTCTCTCTCTCTCTCTCTCTCTCTCTCTCTCTCTCCTCTCTCTCTCTCTCTCTCTCTCTCTCTCTCTCTCTCCTCTCAACGAATCCCATTAAAATCCCTTCCCCCTTGCCTTAAACCCTTGTTTCTCATAGGAAACCCAAGCATTCTCTCTCTCATGCTAAACTCACTAATGCTCAGCTCCCATGCCACAAGTTTCTCATGCCAAGCATAATATTTATCTGTAAGCAACTGTTGGTTTCATTGGTGAAGAAGACGAAGGTGCTTCTTAAGACTCAGCTAGCCTTTCGAAGCACTCTTGGGGTCTGATTCTTGAACTCAGATTCAAGGGGTAATTTCACCCATTTGCTCCTTACGACAGCCCAAGCCCATTAGTAGCTATTGGAACGAAAAAGCCCCCACAGGGAGCACATCCGCTTTAGCCAACTTAGCTAAGCCCACATATGCTCGACCTGTTTATCAAAGGAGTCACGAATTGACAACTTAAACACGACACGTTTATTAGAGAATAATTAATAGCACACATAATATGGGACTGAAAATGAACGAACTGATGTGATGATTGTAAAAAAAAAAAAAAAAAAAAAAAAAAAAAAAAAAAAAAGGTTTACATTGAACTGTATAAAATCGAAATGACAAGTTCTAGAGATACTATATGGCATGATACAATTCAATTTACAAGGCCGTTTCTTTTCTTCTACTTTATTTTATCTGCAACAAGTAAACCAACAGAAGGCTAATCTCTCACTAGCGTCCACAACCTTTCTTTTGGTTGCCTTGAGTTTTTCCATTTATTGAAAACCTTGGCCAGCTATGGAAGACAAGAGGACTAGAGGCAGACAAAAGATCAAGATCAAGAGGCTCCTCTTCAGGATCTTGACTTGCAAGGACTCAAACAGATGCATGCTTCCTTTAAGCACCTCCAGAAGGACCTTTTTTCGGGTCGAAGTTTCCAGTAGGACCTTTTGTTTGGTCGAAGCCTCCACAAGGACTTGTGCACCCATCTTAGCCTCACATAAAGAACTAGCAGCACCTTTGATTTTGATAATTATGCTTCCTCTCGTCTTTCGCAGCACCTCCCTTTCACCTATCAACAATCCACCTAACTAGTTTTATATCTCTTAATATTTCAATCGAAGATTATTAGGCGTAAGTTTTTTGCAATTGATTCGTAGGTTATCTTCGATTGTTGTCTTAAGGTTTGGTGTTTTGTGGCACAATAATTGGTATCAGAGCCACATTGTTAAAGATGTCTGAGGGCAAGACGGGAACTACTATGCATAATGCATAGTTTGAAGTAGAAAAATTCAATGGAAAAAACATTTCTAGGGTGTGGCGATGTGAGGTTAATTAAAGATGTATTGGCTCAACAATATCTTCTTGTACGTAGTATTTGTGAGATAAACCTGAAGTTGTTAAAGTCAAATTTGGAAAAAAGTAAATTTGTGGGCATGCTTTATCATTCGATTTTGTCTCTCTAAATCCTAGAAGTACTTTGTGATGCGAGAGACATTAGCTAAGGTGCTGTAGCAAAAATTAAAACACAAATACATGATGAAAAGTGCAGAGAATCAGTTACACTTGAATAAGAAGCTCTACAGCTTCCAATTAATGTGCAAGAGAAATGGTCTCTTATAGTTCAGTTTGTTCATTCCACTTCTCAACTAGTTAATATTCTTACAAAGGCGTTTTAGGAGGAATAGTCCCTCAACTTGTACCCAGTTCGCATTTTAGTCATTTAATTCGCAAAAGGGCTAGATGTAGTCTCTCAACTCCACTACTATTAGCACCATTGGTTATGGCCAGTGGCGGCCCCATAACTTTTTTAGTGGAGGTGCAATTTTGAAAGATTAAAATCTTTATAATAATTTTTTTTTATTACCACATATTTGAAAGGCCAAATATTATTACAAGAAAAATGAAATTGACGCGACGGTTACTGAAGAAGAAAAAAAGACAGCAGCATTTTGATGAACTTACTTTGGAAGCTTGATCGATACAATATTTTCTTTCTCGGCACAAAGCTTGATTGATGAATCTGTTTTTATAGAAGACTGGAGTCTCTCTCAAAAAAAAAAAAAAAAAAAGAAAAAAAAAAAAAAAAAAAAGAAAGTGGTGGAGACGTAAATAAAATTTATGAATTTGATGATCTTTTTATAAGGACTTGGATTGGATTGGTGGGGTGGGGACGTAATCAAAAAGGAAATTTTTTTTTATAAAAAAAAAAAGCAACATCTCCTTAAGAAGGTTCATTTAAAAATAAAAAATAAAAATCTCCTTAAGGAGATTCCCTCCTTTTCAGTCTAGCACACAGAGTTTTCTTCTTCTTTTTTTTATTGGTCCAAAATGACGTCGTTTTGGCAATGAATTAATATATATACAAGCGCGCAATGCAACTACACAACAAAGGGTGCAAGGAAAGCAGACCTTTTGTCGAACAGGTAGAGTGCACAACAGACTTAGGGAAGGGGGAACTTTCCATCACCTCAAGGTTTAGCTGCACCTCCTTGGGCCTCTGTAGGTATGCCATTGGTTATGGTGTTACATTTTCTATAAAATTTAAAGGCAAAACAATATTTTCAGTTTCTTTGATGTAGAACAGATGGTGGAAGCAATTGAAGAGGAGCTGGAGCGACGTGCACGCAAAGGCAAATTGGGTAAACTGTAGATTTGGGCTCCGAGCTCAGAATCGGGCCCATGACCCATCGATTTGAAGAGAATAGTGTCACCAGTAAAACACATTGTTATACCATGATGTATGGGCTTTTTTGGCATCCGTGATCATTTAATAGCCCAAAATTCAGTTTTAAAGTTTTAACAGTTTTTGAAAACGTTGCTATTTTTCTATTTTAATTCCTTTGTTATTTCTAAAGTTTCTATGAGTATTTAAACATACTTTACTCGTGGTTAGGGTTATGTTTTGTTATTCCAATTTTATCAATAAACCTTGAGGTTTCCTCGTATCTTCCTGGTGGATTTCAGAGTTACATGTTTTAGACTAAGATTTAGCCAATCAATTATCATGCTTCGTCATTCTTTCTAATGGGCAAAAAAATCAATTCCACCCTCCTCCAACAGCCCCGGCCCCTACCCAACATCCACAGCCGTTGAGCACCTCAAACCCACCCAACATTGTCTGTTCGATTTCAAGGCCTTCGTTTCGCTTCACTTCATAGCCTATTGCATTATTGACTCACACCTTTACACAAAAAATGTAATAGATTTGATGACAAGACCAACAACTCTAACGGAAGTGGCGTTAATGGTACATCATCCATTTTGTGAATTAATAAAGGACCAAAGTGTGAATTAAGTACAAACCTAGCTCTAATATTATGTTCCATTCTGCTTAGAGTGCTATCTCTGTTGCATGAGAGTTGCTCTCCAACTTAAGGAGCTGAAGAGAATAGTAATCACAAAGATCATCAAGCTAAATCTCAACCGTTGGATAGTAGATCTGATACTTTAATAGATGGCGTTGGTTAAGCTGTTCAACTATAATCTGTTTTAGTTAGACTGGCTGTTTATTTGTTACACTTTTTTTTATTGATTTGGTTTGACCTCTTTTATTTACAGGTCAGCCTTTATATATCTAATTAATCATCACTTTCCAAAAAATGATAAAGGCAGAAGGGAGATGAAGAAATAATGACAATTAGTTTAAGATATTGAGGCAAAATTTAGCAATGTCCTCCGAGCCAAAATGCTCCTTAACTTCAAATTTGTGCCAAAATGCCTCATATAACCAAGGATTAAAATATTGGCCGTGCAGATAATATCGGGCTTCTAATTTATGGATATTTCGGAGGATATATTGTTATCGTTTTAGGTATCGGGAAAAAAATCAACAAAAATGACAGATATAGGCATTGAAACACATAATTTTGGTGTAAAACTTTCATAGATGTTATGTACATTATCAAAGAATGTATTGAACAAATAAAACTCAAAATTTACTAATAATAAGATATACATATGATGAAATATAATGGGCAATAATGAAAAGTTTGAAAATAAAATGTTAATTAGAATGAATAAATCATACATAAATCCATAATTTGTTTAAACATTGTATTACAATTTAGATAAGTGTCCATCTACATAAATGAAGAGCTCTTATGAGGTTCAAATAATGAGGAACAACCACCTAGATTCATACAATAGTCATACCAAGTCATGTAACCAGAGCAGTTTGTAAGCCATGTTTGAACATGGGTCTTTCTTGAGACCCCTATTGTCCTCTCATATATGGGATAGTTAGGATTAGCCAACTAGTAGGACCATAATATGTTTTATCATCTTGAGCTCCATAACTAATTCCACTATAATCAGACATGACATAACCATGCGTAGCCATCATAAGATTCATTTGAGTTAGTACTAGGTTTAGTTCCTATGCTCATAGATCCAAAACTGAACGCTATGTCCTCTTCGGATGGATTGGAGGTATGTGGGCAGTGGACTGTGCATAGATTCTTCACATTAATAAATTATAGGGTTTTGGGCAATGATTAGCTATTTTTGGGTTTCAATTTTGCTTCAATTACCTTCAAAACTTCTGATTTTTTTTTTTGAGTTATGTTATGGGTATCGGGAATGTCAGCAAAATATCGGGGATATCGAACTTATCGAGGATATATCATCAATACAGGGGAAGATATGGCCTTACCACCCAGTATCGGTGTCGACAGTTGAAAATACTAATATATCGACAGATATATCGGTGTATCGGCCGATATTTTCCTTGCATATAACTTTCTCCTTTATTATATTGTAACAATCTTTTACAAGTTAATTAATATTTGGCACAACAAATCCAGCCAAAAGAAAATGACATTTACCAAAACAATCCCACAGCGTTTTTCCCAAAAGAATAACTTGGAAAATTTCTCCAATGTTCAAAGAATAACATTTACATAAAGGAAAATTAAGCATGCCCAAGTATAAAAAAAAATGTTGGCAATTTGTCATATCGGCAATCAAACAAAGCCTGACAAAACCAAAAGAAAAAGGTTCGACCAACCCAAAAAAAAAACCAAAAAAAAAAGGGAAAATAAGAAGAAGAAGAAAACAAAACAAAACCCTCCGAGGATCTTCAGATTTCCAATGGAGATTGACCATCTTGAAAAAAAATATCACAGGCTAGCTCCATCATCACCAAATAAAACTGATCAAGGAGACTTCAAGTCGAAACTATTTCCTCTGCAATACCGAAGCTCTAACGAAATCTGTCTTTCCATCTGAAGTTGGCGGCGGAAATTAGCTATGAACATCTCAGCTCTTTGATCAATATCATCTTGATCCGAGGGATAGCTTATAGTCCTCTGAAGATGTCCCCTAGAAGACCCCGAATCCTCGGAGCTGGTCTCATCATCAGCACACGCCGCCGGCAGCCCCGGGCGGTCGTTGAAGCTCTTCAACCGGTGGTTGCCCGAAGCAGTACGGCCGATCATCGAAGCGATTCGCCAGCGGTTGACGTTGAGATGTAGTAGGAAGCTCACCTTCTTCACGGCGTTCCTTAGGCGGCTTAGTAAAGACCACTTGTCCATGCCCATGTTATTTGGTGAGAATTTTTAATGAATGTGAATGATGTGTTAAGAAGTCGGAATTGGCAAATGTGGTATATATATGTCTGTATGTCGGCGCAGTAGGAAGTTTCTAGGTAATTGGTAAATGATGCGTAGAGAAATGGAAGAACGTGTTAATTAGATGGCAGTTGGAAATAATTTGTCAGAGGATCAAGGGCTTGGTCAAGAAAAGTTTATTCCTTTGTACGCTTTAGTTTTGTCCGCTGGCTTTGTTGGTTTGTATCACAGTACTTTCCATTGAATTGATTATATGTTTTTTTTCTGCGAAAGAGTCTAAGTTATGCCCAAAATCAAACCGAAATCATCAGAAAGCAAGAAATTATTAGCATTTTCAGAATTCTACGCGTAGTAAATGTTGAGAAATTTTTATTTTGTCAAACAATCTAGCATGTTATTCTTTCGTATTATAAATTTTCTTTATTTATCTTGGGAACTTTTTGTCAAATAAATGATCCAAATTGATAACATGTTAATTATTAGAACGAAATTCGGCAAAAACTTTAACATATACCCTTTAAATATAGACAGGGACATCATCAAAGTAACTAAGTCAAGAACTTGTAGTTGAAGGTCTGTTAAGTACCCTACATGATTGAGTGGTTGCCTTCATTATATATAGTAATTATATGCTTTTGTGATAAAACGTACGTGATTACATAATTGTCGTGCTAAGTCATCTAGCTAGCAAGAATTAAGGTCAATAATTAATTTATAAAAAATACTTTGTGAGCAAGAAAAGGAATGTGCATGATTATTATATTACGAAGTTGCCTTCCCTCCCTCTAAACTTTTGTTCGTTAAAAAAAAATATATATATATATATCGGGTCAAGTTGGCTGGCCAGGTTTTGCTTAAAATATTTATATAATAGCAACCACTCATTCATGTATCTCATCACTTTCATGGCCATGCCTTTGCATGTTAGTTAGTAGTAATTGAGTATTCAAACATATCTTAATTATGCATGAAGTTCTATCCAAGGTCTAAAATATCGATGATATCGGAAATATCGGTAGTCCAAAAACATGGAAATTTTGATGGAAATATCGGGATATTATCGATATCGATAAAAATTGAATAAAAACCACGGAAATTGTAAGAAAAACTTGGAAATTTTTATTGAAACTTTGAAGAATGTTTATTTAGTCAATTATCTATTAGTTTATAAAATAAAATAAAATAAGGAAATGCATTACATGATGGATTTAACTTATTTAAGTTGATTATACAGCAAGCTGGCAAATATTGTGAGTGTAGAAAATATGTAGTAATTAATGAAAAAAAAGATTAAACACATCATAATCATTTATATATAATGATTTACTACAATATTTTACACTTTATACATTGCATGGTAAGATACATGAGTGACTTAGTACCACGTAGAGTTCCTATGAGGTTCAAATTTTTCACTATCTTCATGATCTCTATGTGTAGAGTAAGTGTATTGTGAAGAGTATTCATCAAACGATAAATCCCCAAAATAGTTTTGCATGTAATTGTTAACATGCCACCCATATAAATATAAATATTTTAGCATATTATCACTAAAACATAAGTGATAAATGGTGGTTAAGGTGTTGGAGGAGTGAAATGGGAGGGGTTCAAATCCCCTTTGTGTTTTTTTTTCCTACCTTTTTTCCTTCTTTTTCTTTTTTTTTCATTTACATCGATATTTTCGATATTTTAGCGATATTACACCGATATTTTGACAAAATATTGCTGAAGTGTGAGCGAAATTATCGACATCGATATTTTTCCATATTATCATCGATATTGTTGATATTTATACGATATGAACATGGATATGTTCCGAAATATCCGTTATTCGAAAAAACCGAAATATCCTTGATATTTCGTCAATATTATCGATATTTCATACTATGGTTCTATCCTAGTACCAAATCCATTAAACTAGTTAGTTGAGATTTGACCTGGTAAACAATCCAAGGTTTTGGCTTAATAAGTTTGTGATACATGAATAAAAATTTGGGAGAATCCAATCCAAGGCAAGGCTCTGGGAAACAGCCCTCAAGCGCTAATTAGTTATTAAGCTAATATGGCACAAACCCACTTATTTTAAATCTTATATGTTTCGAACTTTTTACTTTTTAGGTTATTATTGAAAAAACATCATCGCAAGAGCTCTTTCAAATCAAAGAATGTTTAGTTATTTAACTTTGACCATACAAATAGGCAAACACAATGTTTTTGATAAATAAGTGAATATTCACAACGAAATTTAGTAGGAATGACCTTGGAATGATGACATAAATATTGACAGTTCGGATTATGAAATTATATTATGGAGTAAACTCAAACAAATTGCTTCGTATTGTTTTGTTTTACTAACAAGACACTCTCTATAGCCTTTGGTAAATGGATTGGTTGAGACCTTGAGGTACTTTTTAAGGTTGACAAATTAATAATTAATTAAGGGTTTACTGCTTGACCAAATCGCAATGCCAGCAGCAAGAGCCCTTTTCATGAAAATGAAAGTCCATAAGCAAAAGTAAGCCTCGTGGTCAATTTATGAGTTAGCTAGATAATGATGGAAACTTGGCTGCTAAGTTTGAGCGCATGTCAATGTTAAGAGGAGTCAAAGAATGGCCGATGAAAGCGCACCTTAATTTCTTGTACCACTTTGGGGTTTCTAGAAATATCATTCGTGGCAACTTTACAGTGTAACTCGCGGGTAAGAAAGCTTTGCAAGAAACAGTGTTCAACGTATTCAGTCCAAAAAAAAAGAAAGAAGCCACTCTTTTGACGCAGACAAACTTCAGGCGTATAGGCATGTAGACCCAACTTCATGGAAATATTCAAACCAATCTTTTAATTTTTAGAAAAGTTGATAGATTCAAATTCCTACATCTGAAACAAAAAACGCGAGGACTAAACCCAATAATAGTTAATCATTTTGTACCTAGATCTAAGAAGCCCTTTAATTTTTAGAGATAAGAAAACAAGAAAAATTACTAGGAGAATGCCTCTAGACAAATTTATCTATATTGTGGATACCATTGTAATGTTATCCGGAGCCATTCACCTAGTACCATGTGCTTTAACTTTCCAACATAACAATATTATTTTCCAACATGACAATGCATCCTCGTTACATATAATATAATTATGATATCCTTCAATCAAGTATATTGGACTCTATCTAGACTAAGTCATTGTTAGGTCCGTGGCATATATGATATGCAAAGCCCAACTTAGTTTTTCCAACATTCTCCCACTTGGGCTGGAGCTTATTATACATCACAATCTCAAACACAACACTGTCTAAATAATGAAACCTGCTGCATCTCAGTTGAAATATATGTGAATGTCCTCAACATTGAGGCTGCAAACAACATCTTGATCAATTTATTTGATTTTAATGTCATATTAAAAAAACTTACCTCATTCGTCACAGTTCACAACTATATGAATAAGGAGGGAATAGCCCAAGCCAACTTGGACAAAGCAGACCCAGTTTTGATAGCATGTCTCTCACACTTTACGGCCGAGCATGTTCTCCTTTTTGTCCCCACGCGCGTATTTCCCTGAACTCATTGTGTAAAGCTATGATATTGGAATAACTATGCGGAAGCCTTATCTATTTCATCACAACCAGACTACGGTTAAATGCAAAAGCGCAGCAGTTGAAAGCAAGACATATATAGAACTGCTCAAATTATCAAGAAACAATTCCCCTAAAAACGTGGATGAATAAAATTATCAAACAACCATCAATCAATCGTTGAGGAAACACTACAAATTCAATTGAACAAACCATAGCAAAGAATTGATCATTAAAATTACATAGAATGTAATAACCCGATTCTAAATTATTATTTAATTATCAAAATATTCAAGTAAAAGACAATTTTATCATGAGAATATTTTAATGGGTTCATAGTTTACTTTTTGTTCGGGAAAAAAATTGGGAATTTGAGTAGCACCGTTGCATAGAGCACATCGATATGAGTCTATAGACACGTATTGGGCTTGAATCGGAGTTGTAACGAAAAAATTACAATCAAAGGAAGCATAATGGCAAAACCGTAAATATTGCGAAAATGGTTTTGTAAAAACCTGAAATTCTCTCTCCCCTCTCTCCCTCTCCCTTAGCAAGAAACAGCCCCCCTGTTACTATTCATCAGTCCAGTTTTTGGGCCACCACCGCCACGTTCGGCCACCAAATCCTGCGGGACCGGTACCAAATCATCAAGCTCGACTTCCTCTTCCTATCCCACCCCTCAACCACCGCAACAGCTGCTGCCGTTCGCCGGAAATTACGAAAGATCGACCGGTTTTTACCCAAAAAGTCCGACGTTCGTTCCGGCCATTCCGGCCCCCAATTTCTTCGATCTAGGTATGCTTTTTCATCCTTTCAATGTGTTCTAGCTGGTGGTTGGGTTGTTTAGGATCGATTTCTGCGTTTTGAAACTGATTTTATCGCTTAAAGTTTGGCCCATTTTTGGCTCGTGATTCAGGCAAGTTCCGGTCACTTTTTGGCCATGGTCCAATAACAAAAGTTGGTACACCCATTGTCCTAATCATGTAGGAAGATAAAGTTTGATTTCTTATTCGGTTAAACAAAAATTTGATTGCCAAGTCTACACATCTTCTCGTAATAGTATTTTAAAGTGAATTTATATAAAAATGGAATAGTTGTCAATGAGGTCTAGCTTAATGGAAAAAGATATTTGATTTACAGATTAGTGGCCTAAATAAGTTCGGATTCCATAAACTCTATCTTTAAACAAATTAATATTTAACTAATGACAGGAAAGTTAAGTCATTCACTCATAATAAAGTCTATCTTTTAAAAGCAAATATCATCGTGATCATGGAGGAGATGATTGACAATTTCTTTCTTGAGAGGAGATTGACAAGTTCATAACTGCACAAAGTTGGAGAAAAGGGTCATAACTGAGAGAGTAATATGTTTTCTTCACCAACCTTATATTTGCAGGAAACATTAAATTCCAAGTGTCAAATAAATAATAAGAAAGAAAATGTCTTCACGAAAATGCAAGAGGTGGTAGGTGAGATTGCAACCCGAGTTAGTTGCATGGTTTTTTGGTCCTACACTTCTGGGACGCTGATAAGGATGTGCTTTATGTCAGACCATGTTTTGTTTATTTTTTGTTTATTTTTAATTTTGCTTGGCTAATTAAGCTGATTGGTGCCTAAGCTAGCTTTAGAGGATTGGTTAATTTCGATAATTAATATTGAAGAGGTATTCAGAGAAGCTTCTAACAAATAAAATAAAAAATGTCAGACGCGAGATGCATGTGTTGGTTTGTTTAACACTGAGGTAGGGATTCGTGCAGGCTTTTAATCCTTAATTATTTTGGATTAATACCTCCAAATTAACAAACTAGAGCATCGTACTCTCGTATTAAACTTATATTGCAAATCAACTGTTGAGGGATGTGGATCAGTGAAGAATTTTTTATTGGAGGTTTTTAAGTTGAAGTCCAAGTTTTTGGGACCCTCTCTACATGTATATTGTAGGTTCTACACTCCATGTATTATGTATAGTGGATTTTTACATACGTCTATTATATAAAAGAGCAATAATATTTTTTTGATAAGATAAATAAAAAAAGATATACTCGTTATTTTACATGTTGAGGACTATAAAGTTTTGAGTGTTGTTTTTACACCCCCTATCTTATTTTCCCAATCACCTTATCTTTCACCCTCTTTGTAAATTTGAAAAAACACAATCTTATCTTTCCACCCACACTATTATTTTTAGAGTAAATTTGGCTTACACCCTTCAAATTTAATTTGCCGTACCTAAAACCCTTCACTTTTTGTTCCTATAAATAATACCCAATTTGTATAAGTAAAAACTCATGACTAGGATCCAACTCAGCAAGTTACCTAATTAAGTATAAAATCTGATTTATTGTACTTTCCAAAAATACCCCCAACTAAGCCATTATTGCATTTTGTATATTAATGTAGAAATCAATATGGAAACAGTTTTTAATTGGATTGTATATAATAACATATGTTGAATTTGGAAAAATATCCAAATAGTTGTAATGGATGTAGGAATTAATTTTGAAACATTTTTTAAAAAAATTTAACAATAAATTCAAATTTAGGTAATCGGTTTGTTTAATAAAATGTTTATGTTATTTTCTTTTTATGAATTATACATGACTAATAATCCACTTTATAATTGTTTATGAATAAAACTGTACATACTTATTATGTTGAAAAAATAATGTACCTATTACTTGTTTGTTTTATGAAAAACATAATTTACCTAGTATGAAAAGTGTACATAATTATATATTCCAAATAATGTACCTATACACATTTACAGGTATGTTGTAAAATAATTTACCTATGGGTAAATAATGTACCTATATTTTATATAAATTATTGTGTACCTATTTTTAATTATGAAAAATATACGCAATTACAAAGTAACTGACTTTGTTTTTTTTTTTTTTGGTAAATAATATACCTATATTTTATATGTATATATTTATATTATATTTTTCATAGGTAAATTATTGGATATGTAATTTACAGATTTTTTTGTTTGTTTGTAATTTTAGGGGGCGAGATGTGAGAGGGAATGACAACTAAAAGAAATGGGGTGATTGATATGCTATTAATAGGGAGTATATTAATTACAATTATGGCAATTAATGAAATGCTTGAAATAAATTATAAATAAAATATGAAGTTTAGTGGCAATGATGTAAAAACATAGAAATACTACGACCTCTTATATCTTACTAGTCATTTAAATTTGAAATTGGGTTTTACACATAGATTTATAGAGTGATGGGTATATGTCTAGGAAATAGAAAATGTAGGGATCTAGATTGGACAAGTCCTTATTTTTAAAATATCCTTTAATTATTAATTCAAGCAAATTATCTTTGTTAATCATTTAATAGTTGAGATATGGAGAGGATCAAGTTGTGTTTGACAGATTGGATAAATTTTTTAGCAAATGAGGAGTTGTATGTTTTTTTTTGTGTCAAACAATAGAATAGATGGGTTACGTGAGTTGAGGTTTTTTTTCCTAAGTTCTTAGAAGTCATTTTATAAAGGGGTAAATTTATCTTTAAAATTTTAAAAATAAGATGAGTGGGAAAATAGAACCGGGGAGTGAAAATTTGAGAAATCCATCCATGCATAACGACAATGAAAACATTATTTCATATATAGACATTTCATGTTTTGTGCTGAAAAAGGCATTAGAATTCACAAAAGCCAAAAAAATTATTTGTAATGATTTTTTGCCATAACTAGCCAAAAAGCTCATGTAAGCCTACTTGTGTGGAGACGTGTTTTCAAAAAAGAAGCATAAATGGTTGGTTGCTCCCCTCTTTATATTTCAACTTTGAAATTGTCAAGCCTAATGTTTGGTAACCAAATATAAAAGGCATGGCCAATTAAAAGGCCTTCCAAATGCTCCGCCAACTCCCAATTGTATTATTCTTTGAATGCCGAGACAAATTGATAAAAAGAAAATACACAAAAATGGAAGAAAAAGAAAAGGAAAATGTGGAATTTGAGCCAGCGAGCCGTATATGAGCCGGCAAGTGAGCGAGTGACCTATGACGACGTCATTTTACGCGCCTTTCATCCGTGGATATGATAAGCGGTTGTAGTAGGTGAATGGTGTCGTTTACTAAATTGACCTACCAAGGGACGAGTAAAGGACTCGGCGTTAGGTGAACCCTCCGACGTGGCAGCCGATTGGTGGCTTAACCTCTAACGTGTGGCCCACAAAAACCAATCCATTTTTTTTAAAATCCACTTTACTTTCCAAACATCCCTCACCAACCCCAATTGTCACTACAATGCCCATCCCCCACAACCAAAACCACAATAACCTTCCTTGAGAGCGAATGCCTCTCCTCCACGTGTAAATACTTGCACTGAAGTGTGTACGTGGGTTATGCTGATTGGTGCTGTGAAATACTTTGGTGACAACCAGTTAATTGAAAGAGTTGATTTGTTTATGTATTAAGACGTTATTGGACAAGTTCTGTCCCTGGGAAATTTAATAATACCAAACAAGTCCAGTTCAATTTTTCCCCCATCACCTACTTGTATATTACTTCAACCAAAACCCAAACCAAAAAAAACCAGGGAGAAGGTCTCGTGCAAGAAATCCAGCTAAACCCAACCCACTCCCCACCTCCTATTTTCTCTCTCATTTTCCCTCACTTTCCCTCCACCCAAACTCACCCCAATGGATCACCCAAATGATCACCAGTTCATTTTCCGGTCCAAACTCCCCGATATTTACATCCCCAACCACCTCCCTCTCCACACCTACTGCTTCGAAAACATCTCCCAGTTCAAAGACCGCCCCTGCCTCATTAACGGCAACACCGGCGAGACCTACACCTACGCCGACGTCGAGCTCACTTCGCGCAAAGTCGCGGCGGGGCTCGACAAGCTCGGCATTCACCAGCACGACGTCGTCATGCTCCTCCTCCAGAACTGCCCCGAATTCGTCTTGGCATTCCTTGGGGCTTCGCGCATCGGGGCGGTGGTAACCACCGCGAACCCGTTCTACACCCCCGCCGAGGTAGTCAAGCAGGCAAAGGCCTCGACCACGAAGCTCATCATAACGCAATCAGCTTACGTCGACAAAGTCAAAGACTTCGCCATAAAAAACGACGTCAAGATCATGGTTGTTGACGAGTCACCAGCCGACGACGTGTCGGTTCATCATTTCTCGGAGCTGACCATAGCGGACGAGAATGAAATCCCGGCTGTGAAAATAAACCCGGACGACGTCGTTGCGCTGCCGTATTCTTCCGGGACCACGGGGCTCCCGAAAGGAGTTTTGTTGACGCACAAGGTGCTGGTGACCAGCGTGGCGCAACAAGTGGATGGGGAGAACCCAAATTTGTATTTTCATGAGGAGGACGTGATCCTCTGTGTGCTTCCTCTGTTCCATATCTACTCCCTCAATTCGGTGTTCCTTTGCGGACTCAGAGTTGGGGCGGCGATTTTAATCATGCAGAAGTTTGAGATTGGCAAGCTGTTGGAGCTTGTGGAGAGATGTAAGGTGACCATTGCTCCTTTTGTGCCTCCGATCGTTTTGGCTATTGCCAAGAGCCCGGACTTGCATCGGTACGACTTGTCCTCGATACGGATGGTGATGTCCGGGGCGGCGCCGATGGGGAAGGAGCTTGAGGATGCTGTGAGGACTAAGCTGCCTGATGCCAAACTCGGACAGGTAATATTAATTTTTTTCTTGCTGATTTGTCATAGCTCCCTATGTGGTTGGAGATCCCATATGATATCCTCAATCATGTTTTGCAAACTTTTAGTTGGTGCCACCATGGTCCATTTGGGTGGGGCCTATTTTTTATAGTGAGAGTAAGACATGGGTGTTGGTCGGCCGATGATGAAACTTACTTACAATGCATCAACAATTGACCATCATTTATGAACTCAAACGACTGTTTCTTGTATTGTAACTCTTTGAAAGCAATGCTAGAGAAATAACGTATTGTTTTAATCTACTGAGTAACGCTAGAGGCAAAACGGTTTTAGACCATATTAATTATGTGACAGTGTGGTTATTACCCTTGTTACATCAATTTTGTGATAAGTTGGTAATTAATTATATATATATATTACATGTCATATAATATGGTTCATTTAACAAAGACGGTTTGAGTAGAACTAATGAAATTGTTGGGTTGGATTTAGTCAAGCACGTTGAGTGTTAATTTGGATTATAATGTGTACTTTGGATGTTCCCATTGATTACGTAGGACCTTTGAGGGTCCAGTCTTATGAAACGTTTTTTCTTATCAAAAAGTGATTTTGGCATTGTTAAAAGCACTCCTAAATAGATGTTTTTAGTTGTCAACTCCAAACAATGTCTTAGCAAAAGTACAATTGAATTTAGACAACGATCCTACAAAATATGAAATAACGTTTTGTAATGTCCAAATTTATATTAGGGGTATGGAATGACAGAGGCGGGACCCGTGCTGTCAATGTGCTTAGCATTTGCAAAGGAACCATTTGAGATAAAATCAGGTGCATGCGGGACCGTCGTAAGAAATGCTGAGATGAAGATCGTGGACCCTGACACTGGTGCTTCGCTTCCCCGAAATCAATCTGGGGAGATTTGCATCAGAGGCAGCCAAATCATGAAAGGTAAATCATAGACAATTACATGTAATTAAAACTTAATTCTCTTAGATTTTTAGGACATGAGCTAAGCACGGATTAAAAATCTGATATTAGTTAATTTTCTTCTTAAATTTTGCTGCCTTTCATGTATCTATCTGTCTCTTCATGCACACGGTTGTGCTTTGCGAGGTTACCGTATATATAAAATATTTGTTTCGTAAATAAAATAGGAAACCAGCTGTCAGTTAATTAATCAATTCGAATCTAGAATGTATGACTGAGTAATCTGATATTTGATTTAAAAGTCAGCTTGCAAAATTGGAGAAAAAGAAGTGTACAAATGCACATAAACAAGTTGCTAAGAATTTCTTTTCTGGGTAGACCAAATTAATGGTGAAAGGGAATATATTGGTTGTGTTTGGGTGGACGAAACCATTGGTGAATGGGCCTTGCAAAGACTTGACCGAGTCTGTGGTCCTTGCCAACACTTGATTATTTACGAAACGACCCAATGCATTTTTATTTATCATTTACAAAAAGAATTAGGTGGTAAATTGTATGTCAAACATTTTTCTAATATGTTTATTTATTTGAGTATATTGGAATTTTTTTATTTTTATTTTTTATTTGCTTTTATTAATACATCAATATTAAAATGATTTCGATTTCTGACTTCTCATACATTTACAAAAATATACGAAATAAAAAATAAGCGAATTTCAGATTAGAATTCATAGTTCAATTTATGAAAAATTCGAAATTAGATTAATTAGGTAGGTAGTTGATCCCGTAATCATTCATTCTCTCTCATATTTCTTACTTTCTCAATTCATTACTTCCTAAATTCTAAGGAAAATAAACATGCATGCCTAACAATACAGTACACATCAATTCATTTGAGTAGGAGATGTAGTTGAGCAGTCTCTTAATCTTAAAGTAACCAATAATTTTCAAATCACATGTATTCTAACTACAGCACTTGCTTGAGGACCACAGAAAGTGTATGACGATGAGTACTTATCCAAAATGATTTGACTTATTTCTTTGTTTTTTTCTTTTTGTTAAATTTTGTTCACCCAAAAGTTAATTTTCAAATAAACTTAACAGAGCTTGGGGCTTATTTGTGATGCAGGTTACCTTAATGACCCTGAGGCGACAGAGAGAACCATAGATAAAGAGGGCTGGTTGCACACAGGTGATATAGGCTACATCGATGATGATGATGAGCTCTTCATCGTTGATCGGTTAAAGGAACTCATCAAATACAAAGGTTTCCAGGTGGCCCCCGCTGAGCTTGAAGCCATGTTGATTGCCCACTCCAACATCTCAGATGCTGCTGTTGTACCGTAAGTTACCCTACCTACACGCTACCACATTCTATATGTTAGATAAAACTTCATGCTTTTTATTAGTGGACCATGTTTGTACTTTAATTAGCCGGCAGCTCCCAAAGCAGATTTGGACCCTAATTTCAATAGGGATAACATTGTTTTGTTATTCATGACCAATAATGTTATACCACGTGGAAGTATTATCACGCGTGTAGTATTATTGACCAAGAATAGCAAAATAGTGCTATCACCGTATTATTGTCATTGTAAAGAGATAAGACCTGTTTGTATAATGGGGGCCCAAGATTTTTAGTTGGAGTGGGGCGCGCATTTAATAAAGGGTGGGGAATTGAAACTTCGGAGATGGGTTGACGGAGAATTCGAACTTGTGAGCTACAAAATTTACTTGGGAATTTTTGTGGTTTTTCCCATAGGCGTATATATAATTTCTTCAGATTTGTGATGCAAATAGTTTTTGGGTTATTAGGTAGACGAATCGTGAACAATGTAAAGTTTTAATGACTTGTTTAATATGTGTTGGTTTCAGTATGAAAGATGAAGCTGCAGGAGAAATTCCTGTTGCATTTGTTGTAAGATCAAACGGTTCCAAGATCTCCGAAGAGGACATCAAGCAATACATCTCAAAACAGGTACCCTTTTTTATTCAATCACATTAGACATTGCAAATGAATACCACATAATACATGTTGCTTGAACTAATAACCTATTTTGCTTAATTTTCATTGGCTAGCTAATTGGAGAAGGTAGGGCAATTTAGATATTATTAGGTATGCCCCAAGAACACACACGTGGCATAATGTTGGCATTGTCAACTGTCCCAAAAAAAAAAAATGTCATTAGTCGATTCTTCTAAAAGTGAAAATTATTATGGAAATTGACTTTTAGATACATGCATGCCTATCCGTTTTTAGGTTTCTCTATCACCGAAATATTAGATAGATAACCTTGCCTTTTAATTTGTATTGGTTAGGGGTTCTGGTTTTTCGGGGCTTGCTCCCCCCCCCCCCCAATTTTATCAATTAAAAAAAAATTAGATGGATAACCTTGAATATTTTCTTCAATTTATTTATTATTAGATTTTATGAACGATCAATCCTTCAATCCTTATCTTAATCAACGAAGGAGGAGGAGAGATTCAAACTCGATTTCTTTTAACATTATGAAGGAGATTCGAACTTTAGTTCTCTTTTACGATGAGAGACGGAAGTCAAACTGAAAATTCTAGGCGGTCCTATGTGTGCACATATACTTTCTTACAAGTTATAAATTTTTAAGTAATTTTTTTGTGATTGTGTAATTGTTACGTGTTGTATGTGCAGGTGGTGTTCTATAAGAGAATTGGTCGGGTTTTCTTCACAGACAAAATACCCATAGCACCTTCTGGCAAAATCTTGAGAAAAGACTTGAGAGCAAGGCTGGCTGCAGGCCTACCCAATTAGGGTTTCAAGGTGACAAATTAATAGGAAAATATCAAGACTACCTCATATGTGTGAAGATGAAACAAATATCAATGCTATATGGTGTTGGAAATTATATATTATTAAATATTATTTAATTTCCATAGTGAATGAAAAATAAGTTTCCAAAAGAGGTGCGTCTTCGTATTTGGTTTGCATTTGGTCATCCTTTGAAGTGCAGTAATTAATTAAAGGATTTTTTCAGCCGTTTTACTCCTTGAACTTGGACTCTAATCAAACTAAACCTCCTAAATTAACTGACTCGAATTAATTAAAACAGTCAATTTAGCCCTTATCGTCAAAATTTTCTAATTTCATTAATTGTTCCATCCAAAAAGTCATGTGAAGGACACATGACTTACTATTTGAATTTTTTATATTATTATATTGGAAAATATTGTGAAAACAAAACAAATTAAAAAATAAACGAAAAAAATGAAAAAACCCAAACCCATCTTCTCCATCACGCTCCATTAAAAAATCTTCTCTATCATCAACTTCCATTGTTGAGAACACAAAAGTCATCAAACTAGAAGAACTAAACATTTTTTTTTAAAGAAAGTGTTGGATTAATTGGATGTTTGTTGTTCCAAAAAAAAAGAATTTTTTTTTAATTTATAATTTTAATTCTTAAATATGGGCCCTTGTATTGTTAAAGATTTAAAGTGGTTATTATTTGGTCCCTTGTATTTTTAAACTCTCAAAAAATCCATTTAATATGGGCTTGAACAATTATATATAATTTGAGGCCCTTGATCCGAGGCCTTAAGCCGTCTCCGTCGGGCCCCAGGCTCAAGGCCGGCCTTTGACCCTCCTCTCATCACCCTCCTTCCATCGTCTCCACTCCTTGGGCAGACCCTCCTCTCTCGGACAACCCAATCCTACTTTTATTCAAGTTTTTTCTTTTCTCTAATAATATTATGATTTACTTTTAATGAATTTATAATATTTTTAGATTCATTAAGTTTTTATTATTATTAATTTTAAAAAGGTTTATAGGTTTTCAAAAGAAAAAAAAGTTTTATCATGTTTATTTAATAACAAATTTAGCAGAATTGACAACATTGACTAACGGTTATAAACACAAGGATTGAATTGGTCAAATTAAAAATATAAGGACTAAATAGGTCAATATAGTAAAAGACAGAGACCAATTTTGCATTTAAGCATTTTCTTAATAACAAGAGAAGAGACTTTTAGAAACCCTCTTATGATTTGTTCGAGACCAAGCACCCCACAATAGTTAAACCTTTTCAATTGATGGATCCAGAGATGAAACAAAAATAAAGTGCAGAAAGTGGGGAGCCAATTGAAAGTGGATTGAAGCAGGATCCTACTTTCTCTAACTCATGGCAGCCAAGCAGCACTAAAATACAAAGTTGGGTTTCTACATCAAAGGCTTTGAAAGAGATGAGGTTTTATATCCTTTTGGAGCTCACACGAGTTTGATTTCAACCACATATCATGACTCTACACAAAGCTGAAATCCACATCCACAAGAATATATGTATACCAGACCCCGGAGAGAGAGAGAGAGAGAGAGAGAGAGAGAGAGAGAGAGAGAGATGGATATGGAACATAGTAAAATGGATGACGTACGACATTCGATGATGAGCAATGCACAGTGAGTCATTATCTACGTGTAGGCAGAAAATAAAAGCAAATGAGTCATCGGACTCATGGACGTTCGATTGATGAGCGAAGCACAGTAAGAGTCATTATCCACGTGTATGCAGAAAATAAAAGCAAATGAGTCATCGGACTCAGGCCGTCCATGAACCCACCTTAATCTATAAAAAGCCGACAAAACAAAAACATGTCCACTACCATCCTCATCTTACTTTGATCTTCATAAGATATTGCCGTATCCAAACGCAAAACTGGAGGCTCCTCCTCACCTCAATTGCTCTTGTCTATATACATGCCGCTTTTCCATGTGACTCTCTAATTTATTTAATTTCATTTTTCAAGTTTTCTCTAACGACATATTTGGTGTATGAGATTGGATTGATTCATAAGGTAGAATTGAATTAGGATGGATAATACTAATTCTATGATGTGTTTGGTAGTACACATAATTAAGGGGTTGGATTAACAAAATATTTACATGGCCTGACAGAATTAGACATAATGCAATCCAACTTAATCCCAACCTTTCGGTGTGATTTATAATGCTACCGAACATTTGAAATTGTAATTCAGACCCAAATATTTACTGATGAAATTGTAATTCAGGCCTCGTTTAGTTGCTCGACTTGAATTTGATTAAAGTTGAGTTCAAGCTATTTTTTATGAATCCCACCCATCCAGGCCCACCCCGAAATGTGTTTGTTAAACCAATTATCAACATTTATAAGTGTCCAAGCAGCCAATGAAAGAGAAGAAGAAAGGAAAACCCACCGCTCGTAAATGCATATATGTGTAGAATATAACTTGATAATTGAGTCTCATACACTCCCATGTGTTTTGGGATTGTTAAAGTACTTGAAGAGAGACAGATAACGGTAGGTAGTTCAAGAGGGAGGAATTAATGTTCCTTGGAAAGATCTCTTATGGCGATTTTGGATTAGCAAGACACAGAAAGAGTACGCAGTTTCTTGGTTTCTGTTGTGTCTGGGATTCAAAGACAAAGTTCACCGCAATCATTGCCGACCTGCAAGATTATGATCACACAATCATGGTGTAATCCAATTTCTTATTATGTTTGTTTATGATTAACAAGATTATACCTTGACCTGAACTATATTTTACCACCTCTTTGGGAGCACACAGTGGAATTAATTTGTCTGCCAGTGCTATTATATCGCTTAACCCATGTGCTCGGCTCGCTTATGGTCCTCTGGATATTATATATAGTAAAAAAAAAAAAAAAAAAAAAAAAAAAAAAAAAAAAAAACAAAAAACATAAATCAAAAACATCATTAGTTAGACTTAGACTGACTAAACTAAAACAAAATACTTACTTACTTAGCATAACATAAAACAAAACAAAAAATTAAAACTTGCTGCATGCCGAAAAAATGTAGGCCCACCCTTTGGTAATGGTAAAACTATTAGTATAGTGCATATTTACTTGATTGCCGAAACTATGCTCTTTAGAGAGGTGAGATCCGCGTAGGATTCATCTATTTTATTTTTTAATTAATGACGGAGAAGGAATCGAATTCGAAACTTTTTCATCTTTTGAAATAGAAACACCACTAAATTAAGTACTAGTTTAGAGAGTTGATAGTATAATTTATTTTATAAGTAAAATTTCATCTTTGTTATAAGGTGATCAGTAAATATGTCACATATACATAATATTATTCTAATAATAACATATATGATATATATATATACATATATAATTTAATCGAGTTGTCAAATTATATCGGATTCAAATGTTTTTATTTTATTTTATTTTATTTTATAGATATGATCTATGAATGAATATATACAAAATACATTGTTTGGATTAGTGAAATACAATGCGGAGTATGCCCTACAAGAGTGTCCCACAAATATGCTTATTTGAGAGATCCCTCAATAAAAACTCTCTCTCTCTCTCTCTATATATATATATATACACTATTCTTAGCACTTCCTTGGAGCAATTTTATAATCTTCCTACAACCATGTCATGTGCAAAAAACCGAAAAACGTTAATTTTAAAGACAAACAAAATACCAAATTTGTAATTTGCTTACCAGCAGACAGAAAGCATGCTTATACAATTATCTTATGAATTCAGGAAGTGGATATTATATGGCATTAGATTGACGTACGTAATTGAACTTTGAACTTTGGAAGTGAATCATCAGAAGGAAAGAGCCATGAAATTGCTCATAATAAAATTCCAAACATAAAGAAATTAGAAATTCAACATGTCTTTTGACAACTCTGACCATTAACCTAAGACTTGTACATGTAGATGGTAGAAATTCCAAACATCATGACGGTGGTATTTGATCAATTAATTATACAAGGTGATTATATATCAATTATTGTTCCTTGTTTAGACTAGTTAAGATGGTTTATCTTGTTTGCCATTAAGTACTTATAATAGAAATTTGATAAGATATTGCATCATCTCTAGACTCTTAGAGATAAGGGAGATAGGGAATTGTCAAAAAAGATTGGTCCCATGATTAGATGGGTAAATGAATCAAATCTTTCGCAGGAGATAGTACATGATATTTATTAAATAAAGCTCTTTACATTATAAAGTACAAATAAGTTTACCATTCTCTCGCTATATTGTTAGATGTTTATATTTTCAACGAATTTGAATTACAAATTAAGTTTTGATACAAGCGATATTAAAGGAGAGGGGAATCGAACTTAAGACCTTAGGTTCAATAGAGTAAATGCTCTTAACCACTTGAGCTACAAGTTCCTTGAGAATTACGAATTAAGTTTAATTCTTGCCTTGAGGTTGAAAGTTGTAAAATATAAGTATTTGTTTAACAACGCAATTTATTATCCTCTAATTTGGTAAGTTTATTATCCTCTAATTAGTTATAAAAGGAACGCTGTATAATTAATTATTTCGCATGGACCGACAGGAGATTGTAATGCTGCCATTAATGGAGGCGACAACACTTCGATTCCCCACTGATCTTTGCAGCAAACTGTCTCTGTCTCTCTCTCTCTCTCTGAGACACACACACACACACATAGAGACTATTATAAGGCCACCTCCATTTCACTTCATTTACTATTTGTGGTTACAGGAATGGTGATGCTTTAAGCCTCATGATATAATCCCAGAAAAACCCTCCCTCTACTTCACATTAATCTCCTCTCTTCAATCTTCCCTAGCCTAGTTACCTTGCTTGCTCCTAGCTACAACTATTTTCCTCAACCTCTCCCTCTCTCTCTCTCTCTCATGGATTTTCAGCCCAATACTTCTCTTCATCTAAGCCTACCCAACGACCAAGTCAATTTAGATCTTGTCCTGGAGCCATCATACACGTCTTCCTCATCATCTCTCAGTCCTTCAGAACAGCCGCGTGTGTTTTCTTGCAACTATTGCCAGAGAAAGTTTTACAGCTCACAAGCACTTGGAGGCCACCAAAATGCTCACAAGCTCGAGCGGACTTTAGCCAAGAAAAGCAGAGAGCAGCTAAGCTCCGCTGCCCGAGCTCATGGCGGCTCGAACCAGAGGCCTGCAGGGTCTAATAGCTTCAGCGATTCAAGTCATCCAAGGCAAATTCACGAGGCACATAATCTTGGTGGGTTGAAAGAACATCAAGGACATGCTGGTAGGTTTGCTGGCCATATGAACTGTGGATATAGGCCTGAGAATAATGTTGAGGAGGAGATTGGCCACCTTGACTTGTCTTTGAGGCTTTAAGTTAAATAATTGCACACATTAAATTTTCAAATTACTTTATGATGTGATGGAGTTTCATATGTTAAATTTTCAAATTAGATTCTGGAAATTTATCATATTATTATATATTTTTATGAAGAAAATAGATGAGAGTGAGGACCAAAGACACAAACGAACAAAACTAATGAGATAGTGCAGTGTATGGTTTCCTCTTGTTTCGAACATTGTAAGTTCCAACATGTTTTGTTCATACAAGACATATATTCCTGATTCAACTCAATTAATGAGTATATTTTTGTTCAAGCATAATTCCTTGGAATGCTTCGATGAAATAAGTTGTCTTATAAATCCTAGTATTGTCTGTTACCATAACATGTCAGACTATTTTGTACAGTTGTTTTTATTTATATATAAGCATGCTTAGAACATTGTGCTAAGTATGGTCGCTCGTATAAACAAATGTCAATCGTTGATGTATAATCAACTATAAAAACATGACTTATATAAACCGAGGTGGATGGAATGAAAACCTATAAGCTGAGAACTTACTATTCCCAACGTTGTCTCATGATCTGCATCGATATCTTCTATTTTTGTAGAAAAAAAATCAAGAATCCACCTTACAAAATTAGCGAAAATGGGAAAACAGTTTTAATCATCCAGGTATATATGTATGATCATCATGATAGTTTACTGTATGTGTCTACAATTTTGTGCCAAATAAATTAATTGGATCCTTGAAAAACTGTACTGGATAATCCCCAGTTTATGACCACATGACTAAAACATTCAAAATCATAATCATCACCGAAGTTCTTGTACTCCATCTGTTCGTTACAGTGTCAGTATATATATATATATATATGAAAGCAAAAAAGTGATGGCACTGTTGAGTATGCCATTGTGGCTTTATATATATGTGTGTGCGCGCACACTATGTCAAAATCTCTTAGGCATATAAGAAACAGATGTGGGTAGATAGGCAAGATGAACTTCATATGTTGAGTAACTTGATTTCAGTGCAGCTCCATGAGTATTAATTAGTCAATTGCCAACCACCAATTGCTGGGTTTCAATCATGGGAGCATTTTTGCTCACCATTTTAACCCAAGGTATACACTCACCACCCTTCTCAACACTTGAACATGTGTCCCTAAGCATAACCATGGTCACATAAATCAAAGTAAAAAGTTAACTATGGTTATGCTTATGAACACGTGTTAAATATTAAGAAAGGTAGTGAACATACACCTTAGGTTAAAGTGGTGAGTAAAAATATTTTCTCCAACGATAATGGTCATTCATTAGATGCTTGCAAGTCATAAATGAGTTTTTCCGTTGTGTTTTTTGGTGAGAAATAAATATGATGTTGTCAAAATATGCTCTCTTCTGAGGAGGATTCATATTATTGTTCGTCATGTTTGTCAGAATTGGATCATTCTAATTGTTTTTCTTGGCAGCAACGGATCCACATGCAGGCTTGTGGCGGTCATGGCGCCCATTTGATAAACTTTTCATTTTCACTTTTTCTGAAAACTGAAAACTGAAACATGTTTGGTAACAGTTTTTGTTTTCTGTATTCAAAGGAGTGAAATCTAGTTTGCAAAATCATCTTTATCTTTATGTATTCTGCACTTTAGTTACCAAAGCTCGATATTTGGGACCTCTCAACTTGGACACGGCTGCGAACCCAGTTTGAGCTTCAGGACCTCCAAATCTAAAATTCACAAAAATTCATTATAACTACAAAAAATTCACCAAAAAATACTATGAACTCTTTATAACATGCACTTTCATTCCCAAGTTTACAATCCATCCAAAACTCACAATTTGACCCCAAAATTTTCATTTTCAAGTTGCACATAAAATTGAAATAAGTGATCAATCAGCTTTTGAATAGTTTTCAATTTTTTTAGTTTTTTAAAACTAAAATTGGTTACCAAACCAGTTTCATATTTTCAATTTTAAAAAAAATAAAAATAAAATGGTTATCAAATGAACCTTTATGTGAGCGAGCTATCTATGGTCACAAGAAAAATAGGAGGTTGTTTATTGTAACAAAACCGAAACACTAGTGATGTCGATTGAGGAAATGTGGTTTTGTAGAGGATCCATACATGTAAGGTACAACTCTAACACACGAAGTAATTTTTAGGTGCAAAGGACTCACTTGTAGTGGTTTTCAGCAAATGCTCTCCTCATGAAAGGTTCTGAGTTCAAGTCCTAGCATCCTGTAGTGTGTTTAAGTTTAGTGTGCTATCGTTTCTCTCAATAAAAAAATTCAATGAGCCTTGTATTAGCAATTGTTTGTTTGCGGTACAAATATGAACAATGACAAATAGCCATTCATACGGCGTACAAAGTGGTGCTACACCACCTAATGTGCCAAATGTATCACTTGCTGGGTCAAATAAATATGGGTTATGATGAACCAATGAGTGTGGTATTTGCGTTGAGTACTAGTTTGGACTGTAGTAAAACCCTCCACACTAGCGCTAGATAATTGTCTTTGTCCTCCATTTGGATATGGAGGACAATTGTTTGAATAAGCAATTGTCTTTTTCCTCATTGTGAACGTGACAATTGTTTAATTATAAAGCAATTTTTTATTATATAATTTGAATAAGCATTTGAAAGAGAATTAATTTATGGCCTTCGATCCACATAATAACAGAAGAAATTAGCGGTACTTTTGCAAGGTTCCTGTACTGTGGTAGAACAAAATAGTGAATTGGAATTTGAATTGTATTACAACGCATCCAATTATAGGCCACGGATTTTTAAAAATATATATTAATATTTTAATGGGTGGGAGGAAGACTTTTGCAAGGATGAGAAGACATGATGGGATCTACCACTCATAGGTCACGAACATTCTCTGTTGTGGTAGAAAATTAATGTCAATATCCACTTCGACTACAGTTATGTGATTTGTGTTTAATCCGTAACCAACACTCTTTAGTCACGAGTAGTCTATAGCTCACATCATTATAGACCACATGTGTATCAATGACTTATAATGAAGTTTTCTAGTAGTGACAACCAAAGAGATAAAAGGGAAAATTTTGCAGTTGTACATTAAATGATCAACTATTAATGTAATGTAATTTGAATATAAGCGATCATCTAAACGATAAGAGGAAGGCGGGTTTCTCACACACACACACACACACACACACTACCAAGGTGTCATGGAGTTTGGCGGAACAGTAGGAAATATGAATTTAAAGATAATAATAATTCTCAATAGAATTGTTATAATCAAATACAATAACAAATTACATGAAATTAATGTAAATCAACAGACACAAATAGAAATAATGACAACTTTAGCGATTGAGGTTTGCAAGTATTGCAATATCCTAAAGACAAACTTCGCCCATGTCCTTGTGCTTGCAATTCTATAGGTGTCTGTATTCCATGATTCAACAATCGATAATCCTAAATTGAAGCACTTCAATTTAAGACTATGGTGACCCAATTATATATTTGTACTCTAAAGGCACTTAGGAAGGAAACATGAAGATTGATACTCTAACATAGCATGAGTGGAGAAAACTCCTTTTCAACACCACTTTGGAATGTCATATATCTTAGGTTTATATAGAACCCAAGTGACTTTTTTGGAATAGCAAGAGTGGTTGTTCACTAATTGACGCCACCCATGCAAAAGGAAAGATGCAACTCCCTTAATTGAATTGCATAGGTTTGTATGCTATGAGACTTTTCATATTTTAAACATAATAATTGTTTTTATCCACACATTAAAATTTAAATATTATAATATATAATTTCCAACACCTTAGACTACTGGTCTGCAAATCAAGACCATTTTTCACTAGATTAGACCCGTCAACATAATGTAATGCTATTTGTGTAACAAATCTAATTCACCAACATCAGGTTTGTATGCTATGGGACTTTTCATATTTTAAACATAATAACTGTTTTCATTCACACATTAAAATTTAAATATTATAATATTTAATAAATATTATAATATATAATTTCCAACACCTTAGACCACTAGTCTGCAAATTAAGACCCTTTTTCACTAGATTAGACCCGTCAACATAATGTAATGCTATTTATGTAACAAATCTGATGCGCTCCTGGCGAATTGGGAATTTTGCGAATGAAATTGCATCCTTGATTATTTCACATATTGATTGTTATGATTGATCTACATGAAACGGACTTTTTACAAAGCTATTTTACTCAATGATCAATCTAATTGTTTACAACATCATCTAACAACTAACTCTCTTTAAAGAGCACAATGTCACATATCGGGCAGTGCAACTCATTTCACTTTATTTTAAAACGAAAAATTCATTTTGAGTTGTAGCCATCAAAATTGGACCACTAATTTTTTTCATTATAGATAATAACACATTAGGAGACGAAGACTAGCATCGCTTTGAGAGAGAGAGAGGAAAAAAATTCGAAGAGAAGATAGTGGATTCAATGTCACGTTTTTAGTCTTTAGATGAGTTTTAAATGATGTAGTATGCTTAGAAAAATCTAAAGAAAACCAAACAAATGATCCAGCATCCATTAGTCTTAAAGTGTGACAACATTTAACTCATGCTTTCATATTTTCATGCTCTACTTTTTGGACAACAAAAATCAATTTCAACGACTCTATGAAATAGTGAATTAAGCGAAATTAGTGGAAAGAAACATGTTTAGATTGCACGACTCTACTCATGCATGTGTAGGTCAATGAATTTGACGCATCGTGATAATAGAATGACTAAAACTTTAGCGTACAACATGTAACTCTAGAATTCACCAAAAACATACGAGGAAACTTCAAGGTTTATTGATAAATTAGAATAACAAAACATAACCTTAGCCACGGGTAAAATCTGTTTAAATACTTCTAGAGATCCTAGGAATAAACAAGGAATTAAAATAGAAAAATAACGAAATTTCCAAAAACTATAAAAACATTAAAACTAAATTTTGGGATACTAAACGATCTTGGATGTCTGAAAAAGCTCATACCTCATGGCAAAGCGACGAGTTATACTCGTGACGCCGTTCTGTTCAAATCGACGAGTCATGGGCCTAATTTTGAGCTCGGAGCTCAAATCTATAGTTTGCCTTATTTATCTTTGCACGCGCGTCTCTGCAACTCCTCTTCAATTGCTTATGTCATATGTTCAACATCAAAATTAATTTGTTGTCAATTTAAGCAAGTCATTGTGATAACTTCTTTGAGATAATGTTTCACTTCTGCAACAAAAACAACACCACTACGTACTCTCAGCTTTAATCACCATAGTTTTATTCAGATTTGATGTGTTTGAAATTAATGGTGGACAAGTCTTAGTTGGTTTCATGACAGTTAGAATTTCACACGTAATGGAAGCTTGGGGGACCCCACGTCCTTTCAACACAAGTTGATGGCTGAAACCCAATAATGTTTCAACACCCATACATTGGTGTCATGATCTCAAAGAGGGCTTTAAAGCGTTGTCATTATCTTAGTGGAATTCAATCTAAGGAACTGGTACTGATCTCGAGTTTGGAGTTTTGAGGTCCATATGAAGTAAGATTCTCCACCTGAAAGTGATGTTATAAAAGTTTGAATTAAATCATCAATCCGATTTTCACGGTTGTCTGGTTTCTAATGAAAATGAGATTTGTTAAACGACATGTGCACGTTGATGATGCCAAAATATGTTAGCTTCAGTCAGATAGTTCCGATCCTGCTTGTAGTGGTAAATCAGGCACCCTCAAAACCATGCAATGCACACAAAAAATACAATTATGAAATTAGATTTGACATGTTTACTTACAAGGTATGTAGGGCAAAGTCATGAATCGGGGAACTTAAGAATTTGAGAATAAGGAATTAAAATCGGATCAACTACTCCCTTTAGTTGATTTGATTAGTTTTGAGGGTATTTCATTACGGATTTTAGCATGAAACTCCCATAATTTTTTTTATCCCGTATATGTAAGTAAATGTAGGGAAAATAAAGAATATATCATTCTAATACCCATTGTGTTAGTTTACACAAAAGAAGAAGGAATTAGAATGATTCCGATACCCATTATTGATAAGATGATAGTTATTTGGTGTTCAATTGAATATGAATTTTTGTCTTTGGCGTAAATATATTATTTAAAAAATATATATGTATAAACTTTTATGTGCATTCATAGATTTTAGGTTTTGTTAAGTAGCAGGACATGTGCCAATAATATGGGTATATAGGAGAGAGGGCACAAGGAAAATAGGTGTGAATGTCACACTACTATTCCACGCTTGTTATAATATGGGTGGATGATAGTTGATGTTTTTCCAATCTAGGGTGCATTAATGAATAAATGCATGTATCATTATATGAATTGACTGTAACATCATGTGATTGTGTGACGGTCACATCGAAAATTTACTTGAGGATATACTATGGATTTGAGTATCGAAGAAAGTGCTTAAGCAATACATGGAGCACTCCGAAAGGGAGCAAGTCTAGCAACATTGATCTTAGAATAAAGAATACATGGAGTCTAGCCTTGGAATAAGAAAAAAGATGTGACAGGAGTGAAGAAGTGGTATTGAAACTGAACCTACAACAACGCAATGAATCATGGTTGAAGCCTTAAGTGAGTAAAAAAAGATGTGAATTGAGCCGGTGCGCTACGTCTATAGATAGACGAGGTGTATTAGAAATTGATACACCAGATAGTAAGAAGAGAAAAGTGAGTAAAAATCTTCTGAATGTTAGAAGACTATCACAGAAAATATTGTCAGCTGTGGTATAATAAAAGTAGAGAAAGTAAGGAAATACAATTCCCCTCACATTCAGTAATTTATAGCACTTCTGAAATTTCAGTGGAGAGATGCCCAAGTATTTATGGATTGGTTGACCCATCAGACTCGTGGCCTAAATGGGCTTATCAACCATATTATCTTGATCTGGGCTGCTGGCCCGGAAAGCTTCCCTCTGCAGTTCTTACCCCAAATTTAGTTTGAGATGTGACCACAATTTTGAAGCTGTTTCAAATGTAGCCCCCTAAAATCTCACCCCATAAATAACTTAATAATCTGCAGTTATTCTGTTTGGTATAGAGGTGGGTATTCAAGGCCAACGGGGTCTATCTTAGTAGAAAATAACATTGACTTGTAGATTAGTGGTCTTAAATTCGAACTCCCAAGACACATTTGGTAGTCTTTGTGCGAGAAACTCCCCTTTCACTTATAATTTAGACTATTTCTTGTATTAAAAATTAGAGATGAATATTAAAGTGATCGATAAAACTGTCACTCCCATTCTATTTGCTTCTCTTCCTGAATGTGTGCCTTCTTCTCACAAGTCTGTGCTTTACAAGTATACATTGCTTTTGGTGTCAAAGCTTTATTTGATTTCATTCAATTTATTTCCAGATAAACTTACATAATTTATACAATATTTGCTTAGAAACCTGTCACGCTCTGCTCTTTAACAGAAGGAATTTTTTTGGTGAGTAAAGCCTAAAGAGATTGAAAGCGCTGATGAGGGATATCCAAGCCATTAGGATACAGGCCACATACCCACATGCCAAAGCCCCACCAATTTGAAAGCAGAATCTTGTATATTTGTTGCACAACTTCATCCATTGAAAATCTTGTGCGCCTTTTATTGCTAGCACAGAAGCCTCAAGCGCAGCTGAGTTTGCTCCAAATGTCACGTACACAGCTACCTGTTTAGCAAATTATATGCAGCAAGATGCAACAAGACGAATAGATGGTTAGTTTCATTTATTTACATGTTACAAATACAATATTACACAGTTTGGGATTTTTTATTTTTTATTTATAATTTTTTTGTTAACTCTATAATTGTTTCCCTCTCGAGAGTGGGATGCCACTACGGGTTAGGGTTGAGGGCTAACTTAATACGACTTCATACAATTAATCGCTTTAATATCCTCTTTAGTTACAAGCTCACAATCATAGACAATGACTTGTTTAAGTAAGTAGAGGTCCAAATCTAAGATTTATACCCTCACCTCACCCATCTTAACCAGTTGCCTTAGTTGGTTTCCGAAGGGAAGGCTAGTAATATTTAAAGTACAAAGAAGAGATTAGATTTCCATATACTCTAAATGCACATGTGGTTTGTGTGGGATTGCAAGATAAGTTACGCTAATAAATTTCTTCACAAACAGATATACAAAAGGAGGAGCTCCTCAAAAGTCAAAATAAATTGGTTGTCAAAACCCAATATGAAAAAAAGTTAAAGAAATTCCAATATTTAAAAAATAAAACTAAATAGTTTTGACAAGTGTCAAAATTTCATTTATTTTGAGGAGCATATACAAAATATATGATTTAATATTCTCTTAATATCATGCATTCATACTTATATTCATATAGCATGCTATGGTAGTATAGTCACGTGGTACATTTTGTATACTTGTTATAATATAAGTGAATATTTATTGATACTATTCTCTAAAATGAGAGAAAATAAACTTTATCGTCTACTCATATTATAACACGTGTACAAAATATACCATGTGACCATAATATTCTATAATTTCTCCTGAAAAAACATGAACCGTATAAAAAAAATCAATTATTAATATAATGCATAAGTATACGCGCATGCAGTTGTCGGCAATCAGAAATACCTTGTATACTCAATAATTAATCAAACGGCTTAAAAGAAAAATAATCATTGTCAAATCAAATCCATATCGTTGTCTCTTTCTCACCCTCGGACACTTCAAAATAAAAAACGAACCCCACATCCCAAAATATCACTAGTATACCTTTCATGGGATGGGGGTTCATATTTATCGGACTAGTAATGTCACGAGAAAATACATTTAGTGCTGAATTTTTTTTGTTAAGTGTTCTTTATAGTTGGTAGTTGGTGGTTGGGAGAGGAGGGAGATGGGGTAGGTGCCAGAGAGAGACTAGGGAAGGATCATTGGGAAAACTTTCTCATCAAAGAGAGACGAATTAAATAAGACATCCTAAGTGTTGTTGGTCCTGGGACTGAAGAAATTTTTTTATGGTCCCGGTTGGTGTATCCGAAACATATACAAAAATTACTCATGGAATTGGGAGATTTATTGTGTACAAAAACAAAAAAAAAGAAAAAAAAAATTGTGCAAGTGCATAAAATATAAGCCAGCTAAAAATTTAATCCTAAGTTATCTTCAAATTTCTTTTAAAAGTACCTATAATCTTGGTTTTATCTATATGAAAAACTCATAAAAGACATGTAAATATGGGCTTAGCCAAGTTGGCTAAAGTAGATGTGCACTCTACTCTACATGCACTCGAGTTCGAATCGCCCTCCCTGTAATTTAGATTACATTAAAGTAAAATATCGCTTGTATAAAAAATAAAAATAAAAACCCATAAAAGACATCCAAAGAGAGAGAAACTCTATACATGATTTACCTGATCCAGCAAGAAGCAAAGCCAAGCTACGTATATGTTAGACCCTTTCAAGTTTTCTTTGTACCAAGCTGACTTTGAACACTTTCCAAGTTGAAGCAGATTGTAACCGGCAGCCACAGAAACAACATAAACCAAAACCCTTTCCAAAAAAAACCCAAGTTTTGAACGTTAACATACTTATAAGAAAGCAGGCAAGAAAATCGAAAGGCCAAATGCCAAAGAGAAAGAGCAAAGAGAGAGAAAAGGGAACTTACAAGAGGGCCTTCAAATCTCTGAAGGTAGCTTTTCTATAAATGAAAACCACATATTTGGTTTGAGAATCGAAACCTACTAAACATGCAGTAAGGACTAGGACTAAGACTGCACAAAGCCTTAGAAAAGCCTCTGTTTTCGCCGTCCCATGCTTCATTTTTCTTCTGGCTGCTCAATCTGTTCACAATATCCATTCTTCTCAATGCTCCCATGACTATATTTATTGGAGAGGCTGCATGGCGTAATTGGGTTGGGGGCAACAAAAGTTGTGGACTAACGGTAGGAAAATGTCCACGTTGTGCACAAAAGTGATGTACCCCACAGACTGAAAATAGTAAGTGAACTATTGATGCCTATGGTTGAGCTTTTCAGATGAAGTCGGGTTACAAATACCTGTATTTACGTATTAAACACTTAGGGTTATTTTATCCAACATTCAATTAGACGTTAAGTAGGACATTCAATTAAAAAACAAGTGGGATGTTGATATAAGGTGACCATCATCAGGTCACTTCCCCTCCTAAGTCTACGCTTTTTGCTTGCATTACGGTTCAAAGTTTGAAATTAAGTCATCTTATGCATGGTCAGGAATTGTAAAGCATCCACCATTATCATGATTAGGGTGGTTGGGTAACCAACTTTCCCTCTTGCTAGGCGTAGGGTAATTATCAGTTCACTACTACAAAGTTGTCTGTGTTTTAGAATTACAACAAGGTTTTTTTTCATCTTAATCACATCCATAACGTTTAATTCCATATAATTTTTATACATCTGTTTAGTTTGACAGTTATGTTCTCCATTTTATAGTGACGTGACAATCAATGGTGTCATGTGGAGTCACTTGTATTTTGTCACATGGACTAAGTAATGAAAATATATTTAAGCAATTTAAAATTTAGAAAATATTTATTAAAAAACTAATAAAAACAACTTATTTTTTGTTTTAAAAAAAACACTCGCTCCCTTCAACTCCAATGGTATCAACACCTTGCACCTCCCATCTCTGCACCACAAACCCAACCCATACCCATGACCCATCCACAGCCACCACCACTCCACCATCCCTACCCATGAACCCATCCACCATATCCGTACCCACAAACCCCAAATCCACTTCACCGGCTCCTCCTTTCGTACCCCAAAAAACCATCAACAGCAAAGCCATCCCCGCTGTAGCTTGCAGAAATTAAAAGAAATTTGATTCCTTCTACCCCTATTTTCACAAAACTGAGTAAGAAATTAACGCAAATTCATGGAAGAATTAGTAACTGTATCGGTCTTTGGAGGCGAAATCTAGAATTGAACACAATGATCTTCGCGTTCTCTCCATCCTAGTAGGCCTACTAGCGGCGTGACTCGCCTTCTTCTCGAAAACAAGTCCCTTCATTGTCTCAATATTGTCGACGAATATTCTTCACGATCTTGATATCCCTCAAGTCTGCCACTTTTGGCTTCACGGGTCCACCATTGAGAGCACAACGTCGACAACGAGCAGAGTCTAGTATTGGCTCAATCACTACCTTGTTGTTGAGCCATGTGCTTGCTGACTTGACCAGCGAATAGCGGGCTGTGAGCTCGATGAGGACGGCCATGGTAATTTCCTCCTCCAGTTATGAGTTTTGGGTTGCTGGCTTGGTTAGCAGGTTTGTGGGTACAGATGGTGGGGTGGTGGGTAGAAATGGTGGAGTGGGGGCAAAGTGGATGGGTGTGGATTGGTTTGGTGGTGCAGAGGTGGGAGATGCAGGGCGTTGATGCCATGGGAGGTGAGGGGGGAGAAAGTGTTTATTTTATTTTTGAAGTAATTATTATTATTATTATTTTTAAAAGATTAAATTTCTTTCATTACTAAGTCCACATGGTAAAATAGGGGTGAGTCCATGTGGCACTATTGATTGCCACATTATTACTTAACGGAGAACATGACGCTCAACTAACGAATATATGAAATTAATACGGAATTATACATTATGAATGTGACTAAGATGAAAAAAACTTGTTTTATTGAACTCTAAAATACGAATAAATTCGTAGTAGTGAACTGATAATTACCCTATTTTATATTTACAAGTTGCAACCATTCGAATCTCAAGTTGCCTTGCAACTGTCCCATCTTTTATCAAGTCATTTATTGTTGTCTTTAAATGATATACGTACAGTTAATAGTTCATACCCAGAAAGGAAACAAAACGGTGTTTATCTACACAACCTACCGGTGTACATTCAACACCGTACGTCTTTACACTCTAGGAAACTTTTCGAAACTCATTTAGAAAGTATTTTGTATGTACATTATTTTTTATAAGGAAAACAAATCGTTGACTTCATAAAACTTCTCTGACAAAGAAGAGCTGAGTTGAAACTGCTGGAAACCGATAATGATGAAAATACGTATGATTGTGAAGGGCAAAGCAGCTTCAATGGTAGGATTGAAATGATTCAAGATTTTGATTGTTCATACCCCACGTTGTAAGATATGCGTAGCTATCTACAACAAGTCTGTCATTTTCATGCATCAATACGATTTGAAACATGACAATGTTGTCCTGCCTCGTGCTCAACCGTCTTAATTAATTGATGGCTTTGTTTTTCGTTGGCTATAAACACAATTAAGAGTTGATTGTTGTGCTCTCTAAATGTCAGCCATTCAAGGGCTGAAGAACTCTGCTTCTAATTACCCGAGTGGAGCATTGGCAATTGGTAGTTGCTGTGTTCTAGTTGTCTCCACTGTGATGTTATCTTGTAGGGCCGGCCATTGGGCTCTAATTTGTCTTAGTTGTTTTTAGAGTTTTTGACCTTCTTGTATCTGTTTGGCTAATAATATTGTTTGTCAAAACCCAATATTAAAAAAGTTAAAGAAATTCCAATATTTTTAATTTAAAAAAAACTAAATAGTTTTAACAAGTGCCAAAATTCCATTTATTTTGAACAGCCAAACTTTGTCCTGTACAAAATATATGATTTAATATCTTTTTCAATATCATGCATTCATACTTGCAGGTTAAATCGAAAATCCCCCTTAGTTTTAGGGAGTCAAGTTTTGTCCTGTGCAAAATATATGATTTAATATTCTCTTAATATCATGCATACTTACATTCATATAGTATACTATAGTAGTATGATCACGTGGTATATTTTGTACACTTGTTATAATATAAGTGGATATTTATTGATACTATTCTCTAAAAAAGGGGAAAATAAACTTTATCATCCACTTATATTATAACACATATACAAAATATATCGTGTGACCATAATATTGTAGTATTCTATAATTTTTCCTGAGAAAACAAGAACCGTATAAAAAAAAAAATTAATATCATGCATAAGTATATGCGCATGCAGTTGTCAGCAATCAGAAATACCATGTACACTCAATAATTAATCAAACGGCTTAAAAGAAAAATAAATGTCAAATCAATATCATTGCCAAATAAAAAACGAATCCCCCAAAATATCACTCGTATACCTTTCATGGAATGGGAGCTCATATTTATCGGACTAGTGAGAGACTAGGGAAGGACCATTGGGAAAACCTTCCCATCAAAGAGAGACGAATTAAATAAGACATCCTTAGTGTTGCTGGTCCAGGGACTAAAGAAATTTTTTATGTTCCCGGTTGGTATATCCGAAACATATACAAAAATTATTTTTGGAATTGGGAGTATTACTGTGTACAAAAAGAACAAAAAGAGGAAAAAAAAATAAAGATTGTGCAAGTGCATAAAATATAAGCCAGCTAAAAATTTAATCCTAATTATCTTTCAAATTCCGGAAAAAAAAATTTATCTTTAAATTTATTTTAACAGTACCCATAATTTTGGTTTTATTTATATGAAGAACTTATAAAAGACATACTGACATGGGCTTGGCCAAATTGACTAAAGTAGATGTGCTCTCCGCTCTGCATTCGAGTTTGAATCGCCTTCTCCGTAATTTCAATTAGATTAAAGTAGAATGTTAATACTCTTTTTGGGAGGTCAACTTAGAGAGAAGTGGATAGTCTTCAACAGGGGAGAAGGTGGAGACCTTCGGCCAGGGAAGAGCCTGCAGAAGATAAAGTAGGAGAAGCAGTCGTCAAGCTTCGGATACTGGTGTGGTGTGCTTAAGTAAACTATGAGTGGTAAATTTGGCAAAGTAACAGTAAATGTCAGAAAATAATTACCCTTTTTACTTGGGTACTGTTCCCTATTTATAGGGAAGTGAAAATGGGAATTTTGCACAAAGTTTCGATGTGGGACTTTATGCAAGTTGCTGTAGTGGTGACACGTATCTTTGGAAATTAGGTTCGGCAGCCGGGAGCTTAGGCAGGTGTCTGGCACCTCAAAAGAGTGTTAGCGTGTCTGGCCTGGTGTTAGTCGTTTTAAGACTGGATATGCTCAGTTGATTATGGTCTAAACATAGAATATTGCTTATATAAAAAATAAAAATACAAACTCATAAAAGACATCCAAAGAGAGACAAATTCCATACATGGGAAAAGGTAAATACCTCATCCAGCAAGAAGCAAAGCCAAGCTACGCATGTGTTAGACCCTTTCAAGTTTTCTTTGTACCAAGCTGACTTTGAACACTTTCCAAGTTGAAGCAGATTGTAACCGACAGCCACATAAAAAACATAAACCAAAACCCTTTCCAAAAGAAACCCCAATTTTTAAACGTTAACATACTTATAAGTAAGCAAGGAAGAAATTCGAAAGGTCAAATGTCAGAGAAAGCTATAAATGAAAATCACATATTTCGTTTGAGAATCGAAATCTGTTGTCGTGACTTATGGACCATTGACTTTCTTTCCTTACACACCAAGGATTCCCATTATAATTATATTTGATTTACTTTAATTCATGATTTCCTACTGCAAATAGAAATATGAATTTATTATTTACTTGCCCATTAAAGTCCCGTTGTATTATAAATATGGCATTCTACAAGGAGAAAAATATACATAAAATTTCCCAAAATAAATATTCTCTCATAGTTCTCATATTTTAGCATGGTATCAGAGTGGTGATCTTGGAATTGCTGACTCTAGTTTCTAACCCCCACCACCGCTATGGGGGTTGATGCTTTTTTCAACCCTCATGAAGGTAGCACCATTGACTCGTTCTCTCTTTCTCAACCAACCATAGCCGAGTTGAGTGCCCAGGTGGTTCAGCTATTACAAATGCAAACTTCGACCCCGAACCCAATCCTGAATCATGATCCTATTTTGACAACCCCGACCTCGACTACAAAGACGATGACCCCGACTCCGATGACAACCTCGACCCTGAATCTGTCTATGATTCATACCCAGATCCTGACTTTGACTTCGACCCTGACTCAGCCTTAGATCCCAATCCGGATTCCTACGAAACTTGTATCATATGCATCTTCCGCTGCACAAATTATGACTTCCCAACTAACGATCCCGGCATATGGATGAGATTGCGCATACTGTGATGATTCAAGACACACTCGTGAGACTTGTTTTAAATTGCATGGCTACTTTGAATGGTGGGCTACTCTCAAAGATCGAAAACAACCTGTATTGATACTGGTTATGGATTCCATACTTCGAATAAGAGTGATTCCACAAGTTGGATAATTGATTTCGGTGCAATTGATCATATGTCGTTTGATCCTGATGATTTTCTGAATACTACCCAATCCCAACGAATTTGTATTGCTAACGCCAATGGAGTTACTTATCCTGTGACATGGGCTGACACTGTTGCACTCTTATCCTCTCTCTCATTGTCTAGTACTTTACTTGTTTCATCTTTATCCAATAAATTGATGAAAGTTAGTTAGCTTACAGTTGAATTATTGTGTACTCATTTACCCGAGTTTTTGTTTGTTTCAGAATATTCATACTAAGGAGATTCTTGGTCATGGTACTAAGAGAGGGGGGCTATATTATGTAGATGACTTCAGTCTAGACATGGCTAACAGTGTGACATATCCCTTTGATAGCAAACAAAAGCAAATCTGGTTGTGGCACCATCGATTGAGACATCCGTTTTTTAGTTATATGAAGCATCTTATACCATATTTATTCTCAGAGTTCAAAGACTCCGACTTCACATGTGATACTTGTATTTTGGCCAAGAGTCACTATGTGCCCTATTTGTTAAGTACAAACAAATGTACTACTCCGTTTAAGTTAATTCACTATGATGTCTGGGCACCTTCACTTATCACTGCTCCTTCTGGCGTCCAATGGTTTATCACATTCATAGATAATTATATATGGATGACATGGCTTTATTTGCTGAAGAATAAAAATGAAGTGTTTTTTTCGTTTTCAGTTCTTCCACAAACAGATGAAAACTCAGTTCAATGCTCAAATACAGATTCTTCGTCTAGACAATGGTAGAAAATTTGTTAATCATGACTTTCAGGTTTACTTCCAACAACATGGAATTATCCATGAGACGACTTATCCCAAGACCCCACACCAAAATGGTGTTGTTGAACAAAAGAATCAACATCTTTTTGAAACCGCCCAAGCACTTCTGATTGGCGCTCATATTCCTTGCCATCACTAGGATGATGCTATTGTCACCGTAGTTCACCTAATCCATCACGTGCCTTATGGTGTATTAACCTTTAAA